GTCCTCTTCTCTCCCCCCCCCCCCACCCCAATGTGTGCATTTACTACTATAGGGTCGGTAGATACTCATATTATAGCGCTTAGATAGTATTATTCTAGCGCGGAGGTCGCGGCCCAGCCCCTAGCCTCGGCCGGTTGGGCAATCTAGGGACTAGGCCTTACCATGGCACTCTGTCAGGCTCGTAGTTTGTGCTATAGAGTCGATATATACTACTATAGAGTCAGCATGTATGACTGTAGTGATAGCAGGTCACACCACAGTCAGTATGTACTGCTGTAATAATACAGGTACATCACAGTCAGTATGTACTGCTGTAGTGAAAGCAGGTACCACCACAGTATGCACTGCTGTAATCATAGCAGGTCCCACCACAGTCAGTATGCACTGCTGTAATCACAGCAGGCACCACCACGGTCAGTATGCACTGCTGTCATCATAGCAGGTGATCACCACAGTCGGTATGCACTGCTGTAGTGAAAGCAGGTTCCACCAGTCACTATGCACTGCTGTATTGAAACCAGCTACCACCACAGTCAGTATGCACTGCTGTAATGAAAGCAGGTGCCACCACAGTCGGTATGCACTGCTGTAGTTATAGCAGGTCCCACCACTGTCGGTATGCACTGCTGGAATGAAAGCAGGTACGACCACAGTCGATATGCACTGCTGTAGTCATAGCAGGTACCACCACAGTCAGTATGCACTGCTGTAGTGAAAGCAGGTACCACCACAGTTGGTATGCACTGCTGTGGTAATAGCAGGTACCACCACAGTAAGTATGCACTGCTGTAGTGAAACCCGGTGCCACTTCAGTATGCACTGCTGTAACCATAGCAGCTACCACCACAGTCAGTATGCACTGCTGTAGTCATAGCAGGATACCACCACAATCAGTATGCACTGCTGTAGTTAAAGCAGGTACCACCACAGCCAGTATGCACTGCTGTAGTGAAAGCAAGAACCACCACAGTCAATATGCAATGCTGTAGTGAAAGCAGGTACCCTACCACAGTCGGTATGCACTGCTGTAGCAATATCAGGATACCACCACAGTCAGTATGCGCTGCTGCAGTGATAGCAGGTAACCACCACAGTCGCTATGCACTGCTGTAGTGATAGCAGGCACCCCCACAGTAGATATGCCCTTCTGTAGTGAAAGCAGGTACCACCCCAGTCAGTATGCATTGCTGTAGTGAAAGCAGGTACCACCACAGCAGTATGCACTGCTGTAAGCATCGCAGGTACCACCACAGTGAGTATACACTGCTGTAATGAAAGCAGGTCGCACCACAGTCGGTATGCATTGCTATAGTGAAAGCAGGTACCACCACAGTCGGTATGCACTGCTGTAAGCATAGCAGGTACCACCACAGTTAGTATGCATTGCTGTTATCAGAGCAGGTACAACCACAGTCAGCATTTACTGCTGTAATCATAGCAGGTACCACCACAGTCAGTATGCACTGCTGTAGTGATTGTAGATACTGCTATCGAGTTGGTAGATACTGCTATATAGAGTTAGTAGATACTAAAACAGTCAGTATATACCACTACAGTCAGTAAATACTGCTACAATCAGTAAATACTACTATACAGTCAGTAGCTACGACTGGCTCAGTCGATACTACTGTACAGTCAATAGATGCAACTACAGAGTCAATAGATACTATTTACTCTGTTGTATGTAGGGTGTGTAGGTATATATACCTACGCGGGGGTAAATATATTTTCTGAGGGGGGGGGGGTCGACAATTTTCGCAAACCTTTTAGATCAACTATTTACCCCCCACTTTCTCTAACTTTTTGGACTTCTGCAAGCCTCTTATAATTTTGTTGGTGGAGAAATGGACAAACGCCCCATTGGGCTTTCACAATTGCTTAGTATCTGTGTATATATATGTAAGGTTTTTAAGAGAAGTTTTGAAATATATTTTTCGCCCGGGCAACGCCGGCTACTTCCCGCTAGTTATATAATTTACCCTACATTTTTCTCATTGTCAATAAAATTGACAGGGACTTTATGGACGACCTGTTCATTTAATCTTCACACGCTCCCAGGAGCACCAAGCTCGCTTACTCTGAAACTCCCCCACCCCAGTTCTGCCCCACATGCCCTGGAGAGGAGAGAGGTCCCCGCCCACCCTCTCAGCCCACGGGCCTGGGGAGGGAAACAGAGAGGGGTGGGGGGGGTGCGAACTCGTGCTCGCATGACCAGTCTAGAGGGCATGGAGTGAGTGCGGCCACAGCACCGCTTTGCCAGAACATTTCATTAACTCCTGGTACAAGACAGGAGCCGTACCGTGTGGGTGGTTTAAGACGTGGGTTTTTGCTCTTGTTGATTACAGCTTCACTCAAACCACTGAAGAATCGGAATCACGGGGATTTTTTATTTGTGAGATGAGAGGTGAAGTGTGGGGAGCCGAAAGTTTTCAATTCTCCCCGAGTTCAAACTGATTTTTTTTAAACGATGTATTAACAACGACTTGGGGAGTCTGGCAGCAAGATGGAGTGATCAGGTTATCTGACGGAGGCGGCTGGTAGAGACACGACAGCAGAGCACGGGTAAATGGAGGCTTGAGGGATGAGCGGCATCACCATATGCAACTGCATTATACATGTGTGTGTGTGTAGTGGCGTAATGTGCGCAGGGTTTGCAAACAGCAGTTGCATTCATGTACGGGGTTGCAAAGTGAGGTCAGGTCAGGACGAGCATGTGCAAGCGTGAGGCCTGGGAGACAGCAGACAGAGACGCCAGCAATTATCGAAAGAGGCAGTGATTGGCTGGCTGCAAATGCAAACACGGAGTCGGTGCCAAGAAGGCAAGAGATAGAAGCGATAAGAGGGGGAGCACGTGCATGAGACACCGGGAGGACACTGGCTTACGAGGGTCACCCGAGGACTCGTAATGAGGAGGGGAATATAAGGGGATGTGTGAAGCAATGGAAGTTTAACATGCGCCTTTCTAATTTTCCAGATATACAAACGTAGACATAACTTCAACCGAGATGATAGATTAAAATTGAGCAATCATTGGAAGGATGTAATTAACCAAGTTAAAACTTTAGCTGCCGTGCAGTTTACTGCTAGACAGCCAGTTTAGATTTATTTTCATAATCATATCCATATTCCCAGTCTGTTACCCCCAGCTTCACACACTACCATCACCATTACCACACGTTGTTTTCAGCTTGCGCAATTTAACCCCCGGGCAGCATAACAAAAGGCTGCTTAATTTTAGCTTCCTTATCTACTTCCGCCCCCAGCATTACAAAGCTTCAGTTTGAACTCCGTACGTTGCGCCCACCCCGTTCCTCACATCGTGGCCTTCCAGTCCACAGTTCGCCCACACACTCACCATGCCCTCCCCCCCCCCCTGCTTGTGTTGCGCCCGAAACGTCGTGATTTAATTTAGTTGTTTTCATTTATTTTATTTTATTTTTTACGTGACTTTACGGAAAAAACCAAAGAGTACAATGGAGGGGAGTTGGTTGGAGAGGAAGAAGTGAAGAAGTCAAGACCAGAGAAGTCCGGGACCTCGCCCTCCACACCTGGGGGCACGGGCGAGGTTGGATTGGAGGTGTAGTTGTAGTAACAGGCTAGCGGAGGAGAGGGTAGCGGAATCCTTAGTGTGAGTGTGATAGGCTAGTGGACAATAGGCGAGCGGGATATCAGTGTGAGGCTAGCGGAGTGAGAAGCTAGCGGAGTTTCCAGTAAGAGGCCAGCGGAAACCAGGCTCGTGGAGCCAGAGAGCATCCGTGACAGGCTCGTGGAGCAAAAGAGGGAGAGTTCGCGATGGGAGTACGTGGTGTTGAACGTGAGGAGCCTCCATGTGGGAGGCTACGAGTTAAGTTACACAGGAGAAAAAGACGAAGTTGTCCGCATGAATGAATACACGTGTGTAGTGACACAGCGCCGACTCCTGTACATCAGCAGTAACTGCAGTGGACACTTAGCGCACATGCCGTTGAGCCAGCAGGGCGGAGGAACTGGGGCAAGGGTCACGGTAGACCTCAGAGGGAGGCCCCTGGAACCCTCTAGTGGGTTCGAGAAGGGAAGTGCAGCTAGGGTGGAGCCAAGCCGCGCCAAAGGGAATAGAAACTTTATGGCGGGACCCCGGGGTCCCATAAGCCCCTGGCTCTCGTATAAACTGCATTGCGACGTCATTTTATGTCCGTTGAAGGCTAACAATATGGCAATCTATTCCTCTCGACGAGCTCTATACGATGCAATAATCAAAGTTTCAAAGTTTTGTTTATGACTACGGCATTCGTCCTCGTTGCGCTTGGACGACATGACAACAGAATGATCCGTGCCAGGTGGGTCGTGGCGTTTCTGTGCGCGGTGGGACGGAGTTGCCAAATTTTTTAAAAATTAATTACGATTTTTACTTCCATTTATTCGCGACCCCGGGGTCCTGCCATGAGGTTCATATAAGCAGCGGAGAGCGAGAGCTCCGGGCTCTCGGTTCTGGGAGTGGACTCGTCTCGTCGTCGTCGCCGCCTTCACCCGATCATTGCGGGGCCGGACAGTAGTTGACTGTCTCGGTCGACGCCGTCAGTGCAATGTGGACAGGGTGGTGTCTGGGCCAGGCCGTGTAGCAGCGTGGCCGAGAGAGAGGAGGCCGGAGTTTGTGGTGTGAACTAATAAAAAGAGAGACGGTGCCTCCTGCGATTACCTCGTCTCCAACGGAGTGTGTGTGCCGCACGCCACACGCACACACACACGCCTCGAGGAAGGAGGAAGGAAGAGACGACACTACACGTGTATAAATATAACACCATGAAGGAAACGCCTTTTGGATTCGTGTCTTATTCTGCCAAAGATGCTTACAAATTTTTGGCGAGATTCCAACTCAAACACTCCCATGAAAGGCATTATAATGTTGGGAGTGTTTGCAGGGTTGCTCTGCCCTGTTCATGGAGCCTTCCAGTTCGCCTGTGCGCAGGACAGTCAACACCATTGCCAGGCGGGAGAATGTGAATGAAAAACCACACACTGGGAATTTCCCAAATCTGTGTAATTAAAACTGTTCTGAAGAAACGATTCCAGGTATTAACATGTTCCGCATTTCAGCAAGACAAGTCGGGCAGCATTTGTTGTGCCTCAAATTGAGACACCTGAAACGATGGCAGACAAATTTATATTTTATTTTTGTAAATGTGTAATTCTGTTGCATCGATGCAGTCATCATGCGGCATATGGGGAGACGTGTGACCGATAAAGAGAGTACTGGACTGGATTTCGTACCCACCACATTAACAGGATCCCCGACTGGACAGTTACGGCCTGTATGTACACGCAGTGTTTGTATCACACTTTGGCTTCTATAGTTTACAACCAATAGTGCTGCTCACATGTGATTTGTTACAGCAATAGAAAACAGGTTACACAAAGCGTTAAATTGCACTTCAAGCATTAGAAAATAAACAGCACTCGTGTCCGTGGTTATATGTATGAAATACGTACATGATACAGATTTCAAAGTGTTGGAAATGCTAAGTTATTCACATGTAAATGCTATTAAACTATAAATAATAAAGGTTTTTGGGTTAGATTGCATAAGTATAAATATGTTGAAAGCCTCCACCACCCAATAGTCAATTAGTAAGGGATTTGTCATGTAAACAAGACGCCAAATAGTTACTTCAGCCCACCGGTGTGTTGGAGAGTAAATCCACAACAAATCCAATACACCGGTGGGCTGAAGTAGTAACTATTTGTTTTGTTTACGTGACAAATCTCTAATTGGCTGTGTCGGGTGGTGGAGGGTTTCGACACATTCATATTTCTGCGATCTAATCAAACCTTTATTATGAATAATATTGGTATGCTTGCTGTTGCTTCCATGTGTAATGGGAAACCGCACGACAGTGAAGTTTACAAAGCATTATACTGCTCATTATATAGCGCCAACTTTCCACACATTCAGTTATACGACTACGGCTGACCTTTTCAGTCATCCAGGAAGTCGTGCATATTCCTGCCCATTGTAACAATGCGTTAATACAGCATTTCGAAACCGTTTCCTACTCAGGCAGGCTTCATTGGTCCAACCGGTGGACAAAACACAAACTGCTCCCCGGTGGAAAAAGGCACCATGGCACGTTTGCCATTGCTTCTGAAGACCAAAAGATATGGTAACGACGCTCGATGCAATGTGTATTAAAAACTAAATGCAAAGAAAACGTATGCATATTTGTACTAACATTACCGCAAAACCACAAGGCCAAATGTTCACAAATTCATGAAGCTGTTCGAAGGGTAAGGTATGAAAGTGTATTATTGGTCCCATTGCATGGGTATTGGTCCCATTGCATGGGTGTTGGTGTAGAACTTTAAAAGCACTTCACCGAAGGAACCTATTTTAAATTGAGCGAGCTTCCTTTGATTCGACTTTGTGTGTCCATCGTACAGAAATGTATGCATTACTTCCTGTGGACCTGTGGATTTAACTTAGTGCAATATTAATCCCATACTTAGGTTAGCATGTATAACTCGCGATTGGAAGGCTGCACGTTGAAATCCCAGTTAGGGGTCGACTCAGCTTATCACTGCACTGGAGTAGTAAAATTATTACCACTAAAAGTCAAGAGTGGTAGTTTTATGAATGCGCCCGTCGCACACTGGGGTTCGCATTCGATCCTTGCCTCACCTTCCCCGCGCTGCTCGCTCGGCTGTCTGCTCCCCACTCACCGAGTGCTACACGGCAACATAACAGGCAGCTTTCATCTCCCAGAAGGAATGGCATCCCGAGTGGAATAATACATACAAATGAAACTAAGCTGTAAACTATTAAACTATGTTTTATTTTATCTTGCCAGGTAAGGCCCACTGAGCTATGTAGATCTTTTTCAGGCGCGACCTGGCCAAAATGATAGCTCAACGAAGTGGCTTATAATGTGGAAATTTCGAGCAGCCAAATACATCGATTCTAAAAGTGGAGGGAAAACCGGTGGACCCGGAGAAAAATCCATGCTACCACAGGGAGAGATATGGAATTTCCTCAACTGACTCAGGGCCATCAATAGATTTAAGCTCTGTCCCATTGTTTGAGAAGAAATAAAACGTTATTTAGCGTTTACAAAATGACTGTAAAGTCATAAAAACAAAACATTAAATGAGCAGAACATTCACAGCAGAGACAACTCATAACTGGGAAGAGTTGCTGACACTCGGAAAATGAATAGTTGAAAAAGCGAAATGGTGCTGGCGGAGTGCGGTGGCGCTAGGAGTGGTGGCGCTGGGGGAACGGTGGCGCTGGGGGAGTGGTGACGCGAGGGATTTCGGTGGCGCTACTGGACAGTGGTGCTGTCAGAGTAGATGATGCCCTCGGCACGGATTCTTTCCAGCAGGGGTTGGTAGATGTGAGGCTTTAGAGGTATCACCATGCCCTTCTCCCAGATCTCTCCTGAAGTCACACAGGGGGCTACGTGTCAGAACATCACACACTCACATATCTTTACCGGTAAACAACATCTCATCCGTCAGCCTACAGTAATTATATATTGATGGTTGCTAGGGTTAAGAGCCATTTTTGGCTAGTCTTGACTTGTGTCTCAGCACCAAGCTGTGTGTGTGAAACGAATGCTTATGGGTGTCCAGGGTGGCCTGGAATTCCATTATTAGTTTACTTCCATGTCACTGTAGTCCCTATAGCATATGTTGGGAAACAATGTTGTACACAACGCATGTTTTGTGAGAGATCTGTTGATTGCAAAATTAGTCTAAATGTAAATCAGGGTTGGGTAAATCCAGGCTTTCCACCTCGGTGGCTTTGTCTCTCCATGTGAACAAATCAACGGATGTGCGCAAAGTTACATGTGAATGCAGAGGACTAAAACACGTATTGGGCCCTGCGTGTCCTTAAAAAGCTCGGAGTTTGCCAATCGCCGCTGCACACATTAGTTGTACAACTGTAAGTTGTCTCACTACATTCAAACATTGGGTATGGCATTGGTCCTCCATCCATTGGAGCTGTAAGGCTTCATATGAAACGTGTGACATTATGAAGAAACTCCTAGTCAATTTAATTGGAAACGTTCTTACCACTGACACAATGCCAATTGTTAGTTATTCTAATGGCATAGGCCGAGGTGTTAGTGTGCCTTTATGTCTCAAAGCAATGCATTTTTTCTCTCCCACCACAGGTCTGACCAACTGGTGTTGTCTTTATAGAGCTGCCAATGTGGAAATCGTTGTGTTTTTATATCTCAAAGTTATTTTATCATCTGAGCAGGGCAAGGAGTTGAGCAATTCAGCCAATGTGCCAGCTCATACTGAATTTTCTGCTGACTCATCCAATACTCCCTCATTTTTAAAAATATATATAACCTGCCACTCTACCTAGAGCTATGCTTACTTCCGGTATCGCACCTTGTTCGATATATCCCGGACTAGGAATAGCGACAGCACTGAGTATTGAATAGCCGTCAAACGAATTTACAGCATTAAGCGCTGGATTCACATCCTGATGAAATTAACCAAAATCGCCTCCTTGCTATCGGAGGCAGTGGCACGATTTTCTGAACACTGGCACCAGGAGGGACATTCGCCATTGTGTGCATGGGACCCTGCATGCATGCGTGCGCAAGAGCAAGCTTTGGGCCTTGTACCGCTGAGCACCATCTTGGCAGCGATAGCGCAGGGGTAGCCCACGGTCTTGGCCATGGCCGAGTAGCCGCCGCGGTCTCCGTAGGACACCAGGTTCACCACCGTCTTCTCGCGCACGCCGGTGGGCAGGCGCACGACCACCTCGTTCCTCAGGATGACCAGGTCACGCTCATCAGGACCTGCGCACGCCATACGCACCGCCACTGCTCAGCACCACTGCACGACCTCTATCGGACGGTGTTACCAGCATCGACTTGATAACTGAACAAATCCCTGCGCTTTCCAAAGTCAGCAAACGTAATTTTGATTCTATTTTGTGCGACATATTTCAATTTTGGAGCTAAATTTTACTTTATAGCAAATATGTAATCATGGCCAATGCCATTGCACTTTTGCTTATGCCAAATCCTGCAACTGTTTCAGAGTTGACACCAGACCTCCACAATCTGCTCTTACATAAGACTACCCCTCTGGCTTGCTCTATATTTATATGTTACATGCATGCAATTAGCGCATGTGCACAAGTGATAATCTTTGGAATATTTCTGGACAATGTTGTAATGCCACTAGAGGCCACACTCCAGGAGGGTAGAGGCAGGGACTGCTCGTCGCACACTGGGGATCGCATTCGATCTTTACCTCACCTTCCCCGCGCTGCTCACTCGGCTGTCTGCTCCCCACTCACCGAGTGCTACACGGCAATAGAACGGGCAGCTTTCACCCCCCAGAGGGAATGGCATCCCGAGTGGAATATATACAAATGAAATTCAGCTGTAAACTATTAAACTATGTTTTATTTTATCTTGCCAGGTAAGGCTCACTGAGATATGTAGATCTTTTTGAGGAACGAAGTGGCTTATCACGTGGAAATTTTTAGCAGCCAAAAGTGGTTGTAAAACCGGTGGACCCAGAGAAAAATCCACACTACCACAGGGAGACGCATACAAATTACAAATATACAGCAGGTGCCAGGACCGGGATCAAACCCACGACCTCCTGCATACCATGGCGAGGCAGTTAACATCTCGTCACAGCAGCGCCCCAAACTGCCCTACCAAAGGAAAGCCGCTCCTCCAGGTGGGCGGCCAAGGCGTCGACGAGGCTGGGGGCCTCTCTCACTTGCTGCGCTCCCAGCAGCCCCAACCTGAAACAGCACCAAGCACAATCCGTTTATGGCTCCTGTCCTGGTCTTCCCTCCCTATGCCTGTTTACTCCGAGCACCTGAGGTCTGGATTCCTTGCCAGCTTGTTCCATTCTGTTGCTCGCTCCCATAAACGCCACGCCTTGTTCCGTTCTCACAACTCCTTCCCTGACAGGCTTTTTCTTTCGTCGTCTCCCCGATTCTGCCCGCTTTCTCCCTCTATCAAAGACTTCACAACATAAACTGAGCCCATTCCTCACCGCATACCTGGACCATCTCAGTCTTTGCTTCTCTGTATGTATGTATGTTTGTTCTTCCTTCGTACCATACGTAACCGACCGTGCTAATTGGAGGTGATATCACTCAGGTAAGCACTACTTCTCTTCTCATTTTGAGATGTTCCAGAAGACTATAACTGTAAAAGCTCCTGCCAGCTCAATATGGAATTATGTCACCTCTTGCTCAGGCTGCCAGTAGAGGTGAGCAAGACCCCAGTACTGTTACTGAGCATGAAGATACTTTGCTTTGACTTGGCAACACAATGCAGTTGGGTTTACTTCACATTAGCAGACATATGGTACTGTAAAGACACAGTAATATGCATTAAACCAGATTTCAAAGTTTGGCCAGTGTAATTTTAAGTCGAATAGTCATTGATAGTAACAATGTTTACTTTATTTACTTGGGAAGGCCTCACTGAACCTCAAGACGTTTTCAGCAGGGTACTCTACAGGGCTGTTTGACCAATTACACTCGTCACTGTTTTTAATTGGGGAAGAATAACTGTTCATGTCTATAGGAAATCCACGAAGCACTGTGATAAGTGTAGTTATAGGCATTCCGTTACCACTCTTGTCCAATGGCCATCATGTGTCCTACCCATGCCCACTTGCCTTTCTCAGGCAGTCATTTTGGTAACCGTGATTTGCGATTGTTCTCTGATCACATGCGTTGAACTCTCCCTCAGCATAACCCCTTGGCGTGCATCGTCGCCGCATACCTGTCAAGCCCTTATTAGTGACTACCTTATTACAGACAAATTCAGACCTTATTGGTCACCCATGCCCATATAAATATTAACGTTCATCTTAGAAAGTCCCATCAAAAGGGACAAACACAAATAGACACATTCTTTTGCCCGTATTGAAGCGGCTGTATGCCGTATGGACCTGAAACTCAATTTCCCTGTACAAGAATACAGGTAAACCATATGGGTTGACAGGTATGGTGCCGTGCTGTGGAGCGGCTTCGTGAGGCCTCTGCGTGCGTGTTTGGACGCGAGGGCCCTGATCTCACTGCTGCAGGGCACGCAGACTCTGCTCGTTGCCGCTCAGGCGAGCCAGCACAGCTTCCTCCAGGGCCGCCCCTCCCTCGTCCACGCCCAGCACGGAGCACATCAATTGCCTCTGCGCGACACAGACACAGCACACGCGGGCATGTGTCGCTATGATGTTCGTCTACCCAGGAAAGATTTGCAGAGCATCAAGACTCTTTTTCAGGAGGGTCCTGCCAGGTTCATGGTAGGGAGCGACATTGCCTTGTGCGATCCCAATTGAGTGATTTTGAGGTATTTTTTCAGCATTCGTATATATTGGCTAATGCCAGTTACATTTTGTTGCCAGAAAAAAGGGGAACACCTATACTCATATTTTGGTACTTGGCAAAGGAGGTCCCATGATGTAGCTGCTCACACAGAGCTCTCATTACTCTGATAGTGCATTGTCTTTGGGCTGTACGCCTTTTGGCGTCCTCTGGTCTAACACCTTTTGAGACTAGGCTCCAAAGAAAGCTGTCTCTGGTGTGGACCAATCAGTTTCAAAAACAATGCATATATTATCAGAGTATGTTTTCTGTTTGCATTCTGACCACAAGTATTGTGGTTAATGCAGACATGATTCCTTGTAAAAGGTTTCAGTTTGGTGTTTTAACATCTTAACACCTGTTTTGTTGCCAGAAAAAAGGGAAAAATCTATTCTCATTGTAGTTTTTTTTTTGCTTTGGAAACCACAGAAATCTGGAGGAAACCCATGCAGAACAGGGGGAGAACATACAAACTCATACACAATGGCAATCGAGTCGGGAATCGAATCCAGCCCCTTCCTGCGAGGCATGAGTGTTACCACTGCGTCACCCTGCTGTCCTGTACAATAGGGAGATGCAATTACCAACGAAACGTCGTACTCAAAGATTGTAAATGTTGTGGTTTCATGCTTCAACACCGGTGGGCTAAAGTAGTGAACTATTTGTCTTTTGTCAACGTGACACTTTTTTTACTGATTGGCCGCGTCAGGTGGTGGAGGGTTACAACACATTTATAAATAACGCGATCTAAGCCAAAAACGTTGATTATGAGAGAGAATATATTGGGCAGAACTCCTTCCTCTATTTACACACCCATATATATATATTTTTAATGCGATTGGTTTTCCAGCATAATGTTACCCAGCAGCATTTGCTTAATAAGCCTGACTGCTGATGACACCCAGGAAGTCGAGACCGGTCCAGTTTGCTGCTGGACGACATTGGCCTAAAAAGCCAGGTGTCGGCAACCTGTGGCTCCGGAGCCGCATGCAGCTCATTAAAGACTGCTTCGTGACCTTATTTATTACAGGCCACTGTCTAGTGTTCACACGCATTACAGCTTTTGAAAGAGGTTTTTTTACAGAATTCAAAAAAATGGCTGACCCCTACACTAGGCCAATGGGACTAAATATATATATTTATAAGTGAAGACAATGAACGTAGTCCTATGTATTATATGCCTTTATCCATAATGCTTCACAACAACACATAACGAGATAAAAGATAACGGGGTGGCGGGGGAGCAGGAGCAGAGCGGAGGAACATGATGCATTGAAGCGGCGACCGCTTTGTGTTAAGCATAAAATATGCACCCTGATGCTTTACAATAGTCAATAAAGACCCCCTGATATAATTCAAGACGAGTAGGCCATGTGTGCCATGGCCTTCTATCGGGGTCCAAATTTGCCAAATATAAAAAAAACCTAATTTCTCAATTGGGATTACACATAGCAGCAATCATCACCCCTAATGGTAGGGTACTGCCTATTTACAGTCCAGGTGCCAATAGCCACTTTGTGCCACCCCGGGACAGCTGCCAATGCAGGGGGATGCTGTTTGAATGTTTGAGATGAGATGTGTTTTAAAGTGCTTTGAGTTTCTGAGGCCTTTAACCCATTCCAGTGTTTCTTCCGATTACGTTCTGATTTCGATTTAAAGCTTTCGTGACTGCAGGGATTCATCTTCTTGGTTCTTTCGGTAAAGTCACGTAGAAGGGAAGTAATAAAATAATAAAAATAAAACATAATAAGATAAAATAATTCTCACGACGTTTCGGCTACAACGCAAGCAGCCGTCTTCAGGTGAAGAATGAGACACTACCAAGCTAGGAGCTTATATATAAGCTGGGTTAGAGGTGGAAGAGCGCCTTAACAAAAAGAATGTGCATATGAAAAGGAATTTAGCATATTCATGGGAAATGCGTAGGAGGTGGGTGGGGGGGGTTCATAGTCATATTATGCCCATGCATTATGCAGGATCAACAGCACCAAGGGGGGGGGGGGGGTGCAGGGAGTAGCATTAACAAAGGAAAGCAATGTTAATAGTATGTAGCTGCAGTTACTAAACAACCACGTAGAAAACTAAAGTATAAACTACATAAAAAACTAAAGTATAAACTGCATAGCACCATCAGTATACTTACTATACTCTACAATAAGCTGAGTTACTAACAGCAAGTAATACATTACAATTCTACGTCGTAAACATTATATAATATGCCTCCATCTAAACTTTATTCTCTTACATCACACGAGCATACACCGTACTATATACTGCCATAGATAAACCCAACATTAAATTATATACTGTATTGCTATAAACCAAGTCGAAGAGCTTGAAGAATTCCCTCATCAAGACTCTATATCATAGAGCCCAATGCATCTCCGACCAGAAACACATTGCCAGTAAACTCAAACACGTACGCCAAGCTCTTAAGGCTAATGGTTACTCCGACTACACAATCCGCAAAGCCATCACTCCAACCATCAAGAAGGATCCTGTTGAGGAGCCTTTCAAGACCATCACCTTACCCTACATTGCTGGGGTCACAAAAAAGATCTCCAAAATCCTGATTAAACACAAGATCCAGGTCCGATTCAACACAGTACATAAAATCCGTGATCTGGTACCGTCTGTAAAAGATGTGGTTCCAGACATACAGTACCCTGGCGTCTACAAACTAAGTTGCCTCTGTGGTAGCAGTTACATTGGGGAAACCAAACGACATGTCTCGGACCGCATCCGTGAACATAAAGCAGACCTGAAACACGGTAGGACAAACACCTCAGCCGTGGCAGATCACTGTTACAACTCAGTGGGCTCACATGACATTGACTTCTCCAAGACAGAGGTTCTCTGCAAGCCATCTGGCTATCATGAGAGATTCGTTCATGAGGCGATCCACATATACAAACACAGAGACAATTTTAACCGAGAAGATGGATTCTGGCTTAGCAATCATTGGAAGGACGTAATAAACCATTTCGGATCTTAACTGATTGTGTTCACGTTTACGGTGACTTTCAGACCGCGTTCCACTCACTGGCATTGTATTCTCCGCAGGGAATGGATTCTTTGCTCCGCTGCAAGTTTCCCCCCACGGCTCACCCATTGACACGACGGTCAATGGTACAGCGTATAATAACAAATAGTATAACATTTATATGCTTAATACAATGTACAAAGTAATATATAGTATCGTAATTGTATAGTAAACATATAGCAGTGTGATACACATTAGGGTGAGTAGAATAATACATAGTGTTATATTAAAATGTATAAGGTATAGGGTGGTTTATAGCAATACAGTATATAATTTAATGTTGGGTTTATCTATGGCAGTATATAGTACGGTGTATGCTCGTGTGATGTAAGAGAATAAAGTTTAGATGGAAGCATATTATATATTTTTTACGACGTAGAATTGTAATGTATTACTTGCTGTTAGTAACTCAGCTTATTGTAGAGTATAGTAAGTATACTGATGGTGCTATGCAGTTTATACTTTAGTTTTTTATGTAGTTTATACTTTAGTTTTCTACGTGGTTGTTTAGTAACTGCAGCTACATACTATTAACATTCCTTTCCTTTGTTAATGCTACTCCCTGCACCCCCCCTTGGTGCTGTTGATCCTGCATAATGCATGGACATAATATGACTATGAACCCCCCCCCCACCCACCTCCTACGCATTTCCCATGAATATGCTAAATTCCTCTTCATATGCACATTCTTTTTGTTAAGGCGCTCTTCCACCTCCAACCCAGCTTATATATAAGCTCCTAGCTTGGTAGTGTCTCATTCTTCACCTGAAGACGGCTGCTTGCGTTGTAGCCGAAACGTCGTGAGAATTATTTTATTTTATTATGTTTTATTTTTATTATTTTATTACTTCCCTTCTACGTGACTTTACGTTCTGATTACGTATGTGTACGTCATTGGAACGGAATCGATGCTGAATGGAATCCAAATTAAAAGACCATTCGGGAGGGCGTGTGGCACAGTTTGGCACCAGCTATCAGAGTGCGGTTGTGTCACTACAGTTCTATGCGGTGAGTACAATGTCTTTAAAAACAGCGGCGCCATGCCTCTCTTAAATAAAATTAACGTTAACCGCTTGCGTGTTCCGAAATACAGAGGTGAACAGGACATCCCCTTTCCTGCAACTTGCAAACATCTCGGAAAGGGAAAGCGTTAAGCACCATACGAATGTAATTATTATTATAGTTATGATTTTAAAGAGGGTAAAGTGTTTGTGCTACGCACCCAAGTGACAGCGGGAGCCCCGGGCTGCAGGGCCGCATGTGGCTCCGTGCTGATCAGCCCCAGCTGCACAAACGCCTTGGCCACTCTGCAATAGCCCTGCACTCGTCCACAGCACAAGCAAAAACATCCACACAAACACACAGCAACGTATCAGCTCTCTTTCCCATCATCGCTTTACCCAAGCTCGTATAACCCTTCTCAATTCAATTAAACAGTGTTCACGCTTATCTGTTACAACTCTGATGTTGCTGGCCCACATGACGTTTTGGGCATTTGGGTCTGTGCTCAGCAAGTGTGTTAAGGAAAACAAGTTTAACGATGCGGACCTGCATTCACACAACGTATTCGTACAATTTACAAACGTGGAACGTACTCTCTGCCTATCAAGATACGCAAAATAGATCACCATTACACTAACCGTGATGTCATTTATATTCATCCAAAAAAACCTCACCGAGTCTCAATATTTTCCCTTCAAGGGGATCTTGCATTGGGATATTTGACCAATTCCTGTATTTGTCTGCGGGAGGAAAGTGGAGTTCGTGGAGGATACCCACGTATGTGAGGGGAAAGGCTGGAGGGAGTGGATGAGGTGGAAATATTTCCATGCGAGTCAGACGTGATATGTTAGGATGAGCAACAGCCACCAGCCTCTTGTGCACCGTCTCATAACGTGCGATACATGGATGTGATGCTCGTGATGTGAATCGTAACGGACTCGCGTCTACGTAGCGCACCTTGTAGCGGAGGGTGCCTCGGAAGAACGTGGTAGTGTCGTGCACCCCGTAGTCCTTCACGTAGCTCAGGCTGTCCCTGTTGGGCACTCCCTCGAGGTTGAAGCCAGGCATGAAGTCGATTGGCTCCACCGCATCCAGCACCGAACCTCCAGCTGGAATCTCCACCACCTGTGGGGGCACAGCGCACATGACGTGCGTTGCTTGGCACCGCCATCCTTGGTCTCTGTGTGTGTGTCCGTTTCGCCCCCTGTCTGTCTCTCTCCCTCACCATGTGCTCTTGGGAAGGGATTCCTGTTGCCACAGCTCCCCCCCTCCAGTGCCCCCCCCACCATTGCACCCCCTACCTCTTCTCTTCCAACTCCACCCCTGTCATGGGCAGCAGTGATCACATGACTATGGCGGCCTGCATTTCTCAAAATATTCGGATGTACATTTTTTTTCCTCGATGTAATTGGGCCAACTAAAAGAAAAAAAATTCAGCCGGTATTATGCAAAGTTGATTTTCGAAGCACCCTGAATTTCAATCGATCCCTGCGCTACGCTCCGTGCTGTCACCTGTCCGTGTCTTTGGAAGCGAGCGGGGTTGATGGAGGTGAGCAGCACCCCGCGTGGGCTCCAGCTGAACTTATAGCGGAGAGGGTTGTCCGAGAACTCTGGTGCCGAGAGGCCCCCACAGAATGACACGTATGACTCCACCTACAAAGACACGCATTAACACACACACAGATATAGATTTACAAAGACTACCCATATAGCCTTTACCAGACTGTTGGGGTAAGTGTTGTTATAGCGAGCATCTATGAGGATCAATACAGATTAACACACACCCCTTCACATTCACACACATGCTGCACATCACAACAAAGACAAGGATCCCCCGTACAGCCTTAACAGTGCTGTTAGCGAGTGCCTATGAAGGCTGGCACGGCACACGAGGGGAAGGGTAGCCAACACCAAGCCTAGCCGCCTTTGTCTCCCCAATGCTGATGTTAACACACAGCACCAGGTACTTATTTAATGCAGAGTCGACGTAGGGGAGGCTCAGGACAAGTTCAAATATTCGCCACTTATTGGTCGTGAGTGAGAATCCATCTTGAGGAGATGGGTTAGTAGCACAGTGCGCTAACCACTACACTTATTGCTCCCCACACAACAACAACGGCCATTCGACACTGATATGTGGTGATGTTCCCACGGCGCTTCTGCCAGGCTAGGTGCACTCCGAGGCCATGTGAAGTGTTTAAGGCTTGCTGACAGGAGGTCACGAGACAGACCAAGGTTCCATGGGTTAATGGACTGAGATGACTGGCAGATGGACTGTGTCCTGTATTGTGCTAACTTTTATTCACACTTATACACATACCCACATACAGTGAGGGAAAAAAGTATTTGATCCCCTGCTGATTTTGTACGTTTGCCCACTGACAAAGAAATTATCAGTCTATAATTTTAATAGTAGGTTTATTTGAACAGTGAGAGACAGAATAACAACAACAAAATCCAGAAAAACGCATGTCAAAAATGTTATAAATTGATTTGCATTTGAATGAGGGAAATAAGTATTTGACCCCCTCTCAATCAGAAAGATTTCTGGCTCCCAGGTGTCTTTTATACAGGTAACGAGCTGAGATTAGGAGCACACTCTCAAAGGGAGTGCTCCTAATCTCAGCTTGTTACCTGTATAAAAGCACACTCTCAAAGGGAGTGCTCCTAATCTCAGCTTGTTACCTGTATAAAAGACACATGTTCACAGAAGCAATCAATCAATCAGATTCCAAACTCTCCACCATGGCCAAGACCAAAGAGCTCTCCAAGGATGTCAGGGACAAGATTGTAGATCTACACAAGGCTGGAATGGGCTACAAGACCATCACCAAGCAGCTTGGTGAGAAGGTGACAACATCTTCTTGGTTCTTTCGGTAAAGTCACGTAGAAAGGAAGTAATAAAATAATAAAAATAATAAAACAGCGTCTGACACTGTCACCTCGACAGACCTGGTTTTCACCTGAGGACTGCTGCTTGCGTTGTGGCCGAAACGTCGTGAGAATTGTTTTATTATGTTTTATTATTTTTATTATTTTATTACTTCCCTTCTACGTGACTTTACCGAAAGAACCAAGAAGATGAATCCCTGCAGTCACGAAAGCTTTAAATCGAAATTTAAGGTGACAACAGTTGGTGCGATTATTCACAAATAGATGAAACTCAAAAGAACTGTCAATCTCCCTCGGCCTGGGGCTCCTTGCAAGATCTCACCTCGTGGAGTTGCAATGATCATGAGAACGGTGAGGAATCAGCCCAGAACTACACGGGAGGATCTTGTCAATGATCTCAAGGCAGCTGGGACCATAGTCACCAAGAAAACAGTTGGTAACACACTACGCTGTGAAGGACTGAAATCCTGCAGTGCCCGCAAGGTCCCCCTGCTCAAGAAAGCACATATACATGCCCTTCTGAAGTTTGCCAATGAACATCGGAATGATTCAGAGGACAACTGGGTGAAAGTGTTGTGGTCAGATGAGACCAAAATGGAGCTCTTTAGCATCAACTCAACTCGCCATGTGTTTGGAGGAGGAGGAATGCTGCCTATGACCCCAAGAACACCATCCCCACCATCAAACATGGAGGTGGAAACATTATGCTTTGGGGGCGTTTTTCTGCTAAAGGGACAGGACAACTTCACCGCATCAAAGGGACGATGGACGGGGCCATGTACCGTCAAATCTTGGGTAAGAACCTCCTTCTCTCAGCCAGAGCATTGAAAATGGGTCATGGATGGGTATTCCCGCATGACAATGACCCAAAACACATGGCCGAGGCAACAAAGGAGTGGCTCAAGAAGAAGCACATTAAGGTCCTGGAGTGGCCTAGCCAGTCTCCAGACCTTAATCCCATAGAAAATCTGTGGAGGGAGCTGAAGGTTTGAGTTGCCAAACGTCAGCCTCGAAACCTTAATGACTTGGAGAAGATCTGCAAAGAGGAGTGGGGCAAAATCCCTCCTGAGATGTGTGCAAACCTGGTGGCCAACTACAAGAAACGTCTGACCTCTGTGATTGCCAACAAGTACTAAGTCATGTTTTGCAGAGGGGTCAAATACTTATTTCCCTCATTAAAATGCAAATAAATTTATAACATTTTTGACATGCGTTTTTCTGGATTCTATTGTTATTCTGTCTCTCACTGTTCAAATAAACCTACCATAAAAATTATAGACTGATCATTTCTTTGTCAGTGGGCAAATGTACAAAATCAGCAGGGGATCAAATACTTTTTTTCCACACTGTAGCTCTCATACATCCACATCCATTCATACAACTGTAGCACATGATTCGCTGCTTTTTTATCATTGTCTATAATTATTAGGACACACTAAATATACATGAAGACCCAAACACCGAATATATACATTTCCACTGTGTACAATACCCACTTCTCACCTGGTAATCCATTCTGTATTCTCAACCCATTCTTTGAAACCACCCACACATCTACTGTTAGACGTCTATTCTCACCAGGGTTATTGGCAACCACTCAGCATTGCCCATACCTGGCCATCCATCTCCCGGGCTTGATCAAAGCACTTCATGGCCAGCATGTGGTCGATGCCAGGGTCCAGCCCCACCTCATTGACGACCGTGATGCCTGCATTCTGGGCACTGAGAGAGACGACACGCATCCCACGTTCCCCGTCAGCTACTGGCGCACAAGACCACGGGAATAAAGTGAACGGGACTCAACGTTATGCCATAGGGATGCTGCCATTGGTGTGGTCGAAATATTGGAGATAGGTTTTTGAAAAATCCACCTTGTCATCAGACTCACGGCAGAATGTACATTTTTCTTTGGGTCTTTCGGTAACGAACCTATCTACGTGACATACATTAATGCACATACATCTATGTGACTTTACCGAAAGACCCGAAGAATATGAATTCCTGCAGTCAAGAAAGCTTTAAGTCAAGAATGTACATTATTAATATACATATATAAAGTACATAAATTAATGCACATACGTTATGCATGTTAATTAACTGTGAATAACCAAACCAATCATATATATTTATTTTATGATAACAGGTTTTCCCCTTTTTTCTGGCAACAAAACAGGTGTTAAGATGTTAAAACACAAAATTGAAACCTTTAACAAGGAATCAGGTCTGCATTAACCACAATGCTTGTGGTCAGAATGAAAACAAGAAACATACTCTGATAATATATGCATTGTCCTTGAAACCTTGAAACTGATTAGTCCACACCAGAGACAGCTTTCTTTTGAGCCTCTGGTCAAACCAGAGGACGCCTCTGGTCTAACACCGTTTGAGACAAGGCTCAAAAGAAAGCTGTCTCTGGTGTGGACATATCAGTTTCAAGGACAATGCATATATTATCAGAGTATGTTTTTTGTTTGGATTCTGACCACAAGCATTGTGGTTAATGCAGACATGATTCATTGTAAAAGGTTTCAGTTTGGTGTTTAACATCTTAACACCTGGGGAAAACCTATTATCATATTTTGGTACTGGCAAAGGAAGTCTCATGATGATATCTATTTTTAAATCCTTTATATTAAGTTCGCGTGCTTGCTTGCGTGCTTGCTTGCTTACGACCGTGCAAATCTTTCGGTCGTTTTTTAACCCACTTCCCGTGATCCAATCGAGCTGACATTTTCCACACAGACTCGTTGTGCCAGACAATTAATGTTCGTGAAAAAAAATTCCCAAAATTTTACACTTTTTAGGCAAAAAAAAATATTTTACATATATTCAAATAGAACTCATTCTTGGCTTTGGCTGAACGTCACAGTATAGGAGCCCAGAGCGTAACCCCTCCACAGGCCGTGGCGGAGTAGCGCAGTTGGTAGCGCCCTCGCTTCCCATGCCAAAGGTCGCGGGATCGATCCCCGTGTCCTCCACAGGCGAATATATTTTTGAATCCTTTATATTAAGTTCGCTGCCACGCATATAAAGAATTTATAGTGAAAAACTTTGTTTTTACGGGTTATACTTATTACTTATCTGAAAACATTAACCCCCCCTCCTCTGGTCTTCGCCCTTGATTGGCTCATAGGTGATGACATCGTATTATCCCTCTATTTAAGACCGAAACTAGAGGAAGATTTCTCCTAAATTCTGGCAGGTGTCTAATAATGCTAGTTGTAATGACCGGCGAAACTTTATGGTACTCAAATTGTAAATTTTGCATGTTGACTCTCCAACACATTGGCACGTTTTGTTTAAGTGATAAACCTTACAAATTGGCTGTGTCTGGTGGTGGTGGCGTTACCGACAGATTTATATTGACGCAAAATAACCCCAAAAAAATCCTCTATTATGGATAATATTGGTCGCGAAAGCCCTACGCTGCGATTCATCACAGGTAAGCCCACACCGGCTATACAGGCGAGGTAGTAAATACCTTGCCACCGTGGCACCCTTAGAGAATAGTACATGTGGACTCACCTTGTATTAAATCCCAGTTCAAACAATCAGGCAGACCAAGAGAATAGTCCTGTATGGACTAGCCTTGTTTTAAATCCCAGTTTAGAGTGTCAAACAGCCCAGGAGAATAGTTTGTGTGGACTCACCTTGTAACATTTCCCTTGTTCAGAGCTAGACAGCTAGAATACTTTATTGTCAATTCACTTTGTAATATGTTTCTTTCTCAAAAGTATCAGGTAGATACCAAGATTAGTTTCAGTGTTATCTTCCCTGTGTACATTCGTTAAACAAAACCATTAACCCTGGCACTGGGCGAGGGTCCTCTAAGAAAAAATGTCCACAACCTTAGAAGTTAAATGGAAAACCTTCATGACTGTCATGACATGGGGAGACCTTCATCCAGCAGTGGATCATCCAAAAGTTGGACGTTAATATTTGTATAATTGTTAGTGTTATGTTTAGATTTTTTTAAACAGCGTCATCAGCGTTGTAACATGTATATAGCGTTCACACGTTTCTATAATTGAGCAAGGTAATAAAAGCTTTGGAAAAGAGACAGTGGGAGACAATTCCAAGGTGGAGCAGCGTGGGGGAAAGATCAAGGAACCAACAGCATTGTGACCTGCAAGTGTGGTGGTGGGGCCCACGACACAGGTGAAAGAATCACATTTATTTATAAACCGGGTAGTCACTCTCGCTTGGGAGACTATCGCGGCCTCCCGAGTGCTCGTGCGGTGAAAATGAGCGAGGAGCGAGTGAGTGAACGGGCGCAGGGCATCGGTTGCACACCTGCTCTCCAGGTCCCTCATGGCGGGAGACGTGTAGCTGGCCGTCACCATGTTCACCGAGTGCTCGATGCAGTGCGTAGCCACCATGGGGTGCATGGTGTATGGTAGGAGGCTGCGGCGACAAACAAAACAAGGTCCCCCACGCGATTGCAAGACCGGTCGGAGCCAACGGCCATTGAAGCCTCATATTTACTCATGACTCGTGAAATAATAATAATAAAGGTGACGAAAAAAGAACAGTCTTTACCCTTTCAGGCAAGAATAACAAACAGACACTTATCACAAGGCATCAAGTCTGCATTAACCACACATTTGAAAGCCACTGGAGCTATGCACTTTAAAATCTTCATTGAAAACTCATTTCTTTAAAAGTGCTTTTTCTGTTTAGTTTGTTGTCCTTCACCCGCACCTCTGCTAAGCACGGAAGTTCAACATACGTGTAATGCGGGCGCGGGCGACCTCCCGGATGTGACGTCACGGAGAGGTGGAGTTAGGTGACGTGGGAGGAAAGGTTAAGGTTCTTAAGGGAGGAGACCGGAAGAGGAAGGCAGAACGAGTGGGACTGGACCAGAGTAAGGCCACGTGGGCAAAGCCAAGGGGTGGCAGCGGCGGCCAGCGGTGGCCAGCTAAGGGAGCAGCCAGCGGAGCTGCGAGAGAAGACAGCGGTGGGGCGGCTGGAGAGAAGGCGGACGAGGAGCTGCGGGGAACACAGCCGGCGAGGCTGTGTGTGAGGGAGAGGCTACGAGAGCGACGAGAGGAGAGAGAGGCTGAGAGAACGACGAGGGGAGAAACTGCAGGAGAGCAGTATCAGTGTCAGTATAGAGTCTTATAGAAGGACAGCCGTGCGGGTTAAGAGAGAAGAACCAAATAAAGGACACCAAGCCAGACATCGTGGTCGAGTCCTTTATTACATTGGTGTCGGAAGTGCAACGGCATGTCGAAACAAGTGAGAAAGAAAAATGTTCCAGCGCCGGCATCGGCTTCTTCGTCCGAAGACGAAGACTTCCCTCCAAACATGGATCCTGCCAGGGTGGTGGAGGAGAGCCCTGCTGAAACGAGTGCGGGGACGGGAGTGGAAGATGTAGCCACAGTGTCAGGGCCGCCGACACCATCAGACGCTGATCGGCGATGGCTGCAGGTGGCTGAGCAACTGGAGACTCTCAAGGACGCCCTGGGCCAATTGTGTCATCTCGTCACCCCAAGCACGGCGACGGAGAGAGCGGAGAGTGCTCCACAGGCCGCCACGGGTTCTTCACTCCCGGCGCCATGGGCCACGCGGCAGGAGGCCGCCATCTTGCGCGTGCCGCGGCGGGAATCCGCCATCTTGACCACGCCGCGATTCGACGCCATTTTGAATTTGCCTCCGGAGGAACCATCGGCGGAGGGCGGAGTGAAGCGAAGTCGGAGTCGCCATCTCACCACGGTCAAGGAATTCGCCATTGGGGGCGACTGGAGCGCTTTCGCCTGCAGATTTTTGGCGGCGGTCCGTTCTGCGAGATGGACCGATGCTGAGGCCTTGGAAGTGTTGCCGACTCTTCTGGACGACGAATCTGTTCGTTTTTTTCGCTCCATTAAGGCCGAGAAGAAGAGGACATTATATGGAGTTTTTCAAGAAATGGCCGACGCCTACGAGCCACCTGACGACGCGCATCGGCGATTCGCTCAACGACAACGAGCGCCCGAGGAGTCGCCTGTGGCGTACAGGGGTGCAGTGCTTGATTTGGCTATGGCCGCGTATCCAGATACAACACCTGACCTGCTCGAGCCTCTCATCTTGGGCAAGATGCTCGAGCTGTCGCGGGATCTTGGGATTCCCATGCCGGTGTGCGGGCATGAGAAGCTCACCTCCCGGGCGGCGGCGAAATGTCTGGATGCACAATTCAACCTACGACGATGGAAACAGGTCACGGCGTGGACAGGGGGGCCCGTCGCGGAGGGTGGCGCTCTGGGTTGGGACCCTACGAAGTCGGTATACGTGCCGGATGAGCGGGGCCCTCAGGAGCTGACGGCCGCCTCGGTGCCATGGTCAGGCCGCGGTGGACCGGCCTCTCGTGCTGCACCGCCGATACGCGGGCGGCGCGATGCAAGGCCTGCGCTTCGGCGCAACGACGCCGATTGCTTCCGCTGCGGACGGAAGGGCCACTACGCGAAGGACTGCTGGGCCCGCATCCCGGGTCCGCCACAACAGGAGGCCTCATTACCGGCCAAGCCGCCCAAGGATCCACCGAAACAGGCAGGCCGGCCTTGACACCGGAGGGGACGAGGCGCTCTGCTCGGAGGGTGCCTGCCAGATCTGCGGGTCCTTCGAGCCCTGCAGCCCTTCCGACCCCGCTGCAGACGCATCCGCGGGACAAGCCCAAGACTGATCCTTCAAGGACACGGGACGTTGGTGGACTTCCAACAGCGACAGGGGGATTTCACCCTGTCGCTCCTCAAACTCAATCACGTTCCCGTTCCGCGGATGGGCCGCCGACCGTCCGGGACGGGCCGGCGACCCGCACACGCTCTAAATCCCTTGTGTTTCGTTGATTGTTATGTTGTATTGTTCTTACTGTGTATTTATTGCCTGCTTCTGCTACGTTATTGATTGTTGAGTTGTGTTGATTGTTCTTACTGTTATATTGCATGCTTGGTGTCCTTTGGTGTGTTACGCTCGGGTTCGCCCGCATTACTGTTGGTGTTGTTCAGCCGAGGTCGGCTGGGTTTTTCTCCACGGGGGAGGGTGGTGTAATGCGGGCGCGGGCGACCTCCCGGATGTGACGTCACGGAGAGGTGGAGTTAGGTGACGTGGGAGGAAAGGTTAAGGTTCTTAAGGGAGGAGACCGGAAGAGGAAGGCAGAACGAGTGGGACTGGACCAGAGTAAGGCCACGTGGGCAAAGCCAAGGGGTGGCAGCGGCGGCCAGCGGTGGCCAGCTAAGGGAGCAGCCAGCGGAGCTGCGAGAGAAGACAGCGGTGGGGCGGCTGGAGAGAAGGCGGACGAGGAGCTGCGGGGAACACAGCCGGCGAGGCTGTGTGTGAGGGAGAGGCTACGAGAGCGACGAGAGGAGAGAGAGGCTGAGAGAACGACGAGGGGAGAAACTGCAGGAGAGCAGTATCAGTGTCAGTATAGAGTCTTATAGAAGGACAGCCGTGCGGGTTAAGAGAGAAGAACCGAATAAAGGACACCAAGCCAGACATCGTGGTCGAGTCCTTTATTACATACGCACAAACATGCTTGTGGTAAAACTGGATACTGGCAACAAAAAGGTCCCATAAATAATCAGAATGCAGCCACTGCAGCACAAAAAGTGCACAATGCTCCACGGACACATTAAAAAAGAAACGTACGCAGCACAGCACACCACAGCAGTTCACCAACACAGTGGGTGCCGCAGGCTGCAGCATGGATACCGTGCAGGAGAAATCTAGAATGCACGTGGGGAATGTCAGCTCCATGTTGTGGTGATGAAACACACGGATACACAACGTGAAACACCTTACTAACACGACATTCGCGGATACACAACATGAAGCAAATGCCTTACACCACACACTCATCACAACATTTACAAACAACAGCACTTTGATTGGCATTGTGGCCTTGGTAACCTGGAGGGGGGTCGTGCGGGGGACAAGTGGTCCTGATGGGATATGGGGTCAGAGAAATGACGGCACCTGATGATGAGGTGATGGTCTTTGATGAGACTAGAGAGCTTCTCCTGCTCCTTGCCGACGTCGATGGTTACCGGCGTGGTGTTTTGGTAGCGCTCGGAGATCTCCCTCACCTGCCACGCGGGGCTGGACGCTGTGCACACAGGAACACACGCGCGCACGGGCACACAGCCCAGCATTAGACTACGTGGCGCTGAACACAAAGCCGCAAAGCATTTTGCATTGTAAGCCACACTTGTGGAATATAATAATACTAATTATCATTTATTTGTATGCGAGCCACGTCTTAACACCAAAATGGGACGAGAAATTCACAGAGACGCAACATGAATACGATCCAGGGTACCCCAGGTAAACACAACACAAACCAGAAAAAAACACCACACAGACACAACACGAACCAGCGAGAACACCATAGAGACACAACATAAATATGATCCATGGTCCCCAGGTAAACACAACATGCACTAGGCTGGGCGACAGTAAACACGAGAGGCCCCCAACATGAGAGAGAGACCAGGGATTGACCACACAGGTGTCCAAATCGACAATCTTGGAGGACCCCTCAGATCCCCACTCCAGCCCAGGATCCCCTCTCCGGAAGCAGCAATAACATTAACCCTGACAGTAATATACTCGTTTCACCCTTTCTGTAAAACATAAAAGTGACACGTAATGATTTAGTATGTTATGCGATTGAAGTAAGCGCCCTAAACTGGGCAGTAAGCGTGGGTGGTGCCACAAGGACGTTTGGTGGTGCAGGGGCCACCCAGCCCAGCGGCCCCCTAGTGCCGGTCCTGTCCCTCATACTTACCAAGCACAGAGTGACGTGGAAGGCAATGTTCTATTCGTATGTATGGATGTATGCATGTTGAACTTATTTCACACCGTACGTAGACAACCGTACTAATCGGGGGTGCAAGTGAAGGACAACAATTCCCATTGAGTGTGGGAATTGTAACATGGTGAGCGTGCGGCGAGGTTTATGAGCGTGGCAGCGAGCACGGAGGGTGGAGAGAGAGTTGGTACCGATAGTGACGGCGATGTCTGGGTCTCGGGTCAGGTAATCGATGACGGGGCCAGACACGTAGCCTGAGCCCAGCACCAGCACGCGCTTGCTAGCAGCCACGCTCAGGATGCGCGCCCTCGCTCTACATGCGCACATGATCCAGCAAGACACACACGCACAACAAAGGTCTCCCTCGAATATTACAGGTTGTTGGGACAAGCGCTGTTTGTGAGCACCTATTAAGGCAGGAATGGCACACGAAGGGGAGGGACACAAGTGCCAAGCCCGGCCTACTTTGTCTCCCCAATGTTGATGTTTACAGACCGCATCAGGTACAGTACTCATTGAAGCCTGAATCGCCTTAAGGGAGGTCCAGATATTTGTTACAGGTGTTGTTCGCAAGTGGGAATAGACTCAGGTCACCCGGTTCGTAGTGCGGTGCACTAACCACAGCACTACTCCCCACACACGCATGTACAAGATTCTCGCAACAAGGAATTACTTGTGCACGAACGCACACACATCATGCACACGTGAGCAAGCCTAAGGTCATATGAACACAAGTATCCACTAACAGTATTACTCCCATAAAGGTAAACAAGTCAAGTTGTTGCCATACCCAAAGCGAGCAATGGGCAGTGCTCATGTCAGTTGGCAGTTTGACCCACTGGTGTAAATCTGACATTTCAATGCAGGAACCAGTTCATCCACATGAAATCAGTGTTAACTTTACACAGTCACTGCTACAGGAAGTCATTGCAAAAATAATTAAGTGTGACGACCACCCAGCTGTGCATCTTCCTCTCTCCAGCTTTGCTTTGTCACGACTTCACCAACAGAACAGCAATGTGTGAAAATGTGACGCGTCACTTAAATGAGGAAAACCAATTGGCACTTAATGGAGCCTGCTCTGTGTCAGAACAATCAACAAACAGGAAAGTGCATTCTAGAAAGGAGGTGATAACCACGATAATGATCGTCTTATTTTTAAATAGTGCCAGCCACGCAAATCACATCTGAACATTCTGTGGAGTTTGCAATGCTGGCAGTTTCTGCACGGAGGGCACAGAAAACCACAGACAAGCAGGGAAATTTGCCAGAACCAGTTCCCACAATTTGGGCACCGATGTTGGGACGGATGGGTGGTGACCCAACGCTCACCTGCTGTCTCGTAGCTTCTCTATGTATTCAAATTTAGGTGTCAGCTTGTTGTTTGACGCAATGACAGCCTGGAAATGAGACAAAACAAGTCAGGCCAAAACGGCCTTGTAGCTCAAGTGTAATTATTCCACAATGATTCAAGGTTAAGCTGCGTGCTCTTTGTTTTAACCTGGAAGAGAAAGACAAGGTTCGTGGAGTGTTAATGGCAACATCCGGTAACCCATGTGTGCGTGTGACTAACGTCATGAAGCAGTCATTAGAGCGCCGCATGGGGCTCCGGAGCCGCAAGTTCCCAACCCCTCGGGCTAGGTAGAAGAGATTGGTTTTAAGGGAGGAACGGAAGCAGGTTGTGGTCCCATGCCCCCACGCCCCCCCCTTTCCCCAAGTAGCTAAGGTCACAATACACAGATAGATGACACGTCAATGTGCTGTTCAAATGGTATGTGTTTCATGTTGTATATCAGGGTGTCTTTTGTTGCCACAATGTGGTGCTAAAGTCCCCTGTGCACGGTGGCGAGATGTTAACCACCTTACCTGGTATACAGGTTGAGGGTTGGATCCCGACTCCGACGCATGTTTATTTGGAGTTTGCATGTTCTCCCTGTGGTCACGTGGATTTTTCTCCAGGTTCTCTGGTTTTTTCCTCCACATTTAGAAACGTGCGTTTAGAGTATCTGGCTGTTATAAATGTCCACGTGATGAGCCACTTCGTTGAGCTATAATTTGTGGCCAGGTCGCTCCTGAAAAATAGCTATGTAGCTCAGTGGGCCTTACCTGATAAAATAAGTTTATATTTTAAATCACTCCTGCACGGTATCCATGCTGCAGCCTGTGTGCCCCCGAGGAGGCGCGCGCCACAAATTGAGAACCGCTGGCTTCAATCAATGACAAATATTGGGGAGTTGTTTTTTTTATTAAGGCAACGGGCCTTTTGGAAATGGAGACAACATAGTCTTCTCACTCATTCCGGCTCATCAGCATGTCATGGCATGAGAAGCTACTCACATCTCGCACTGCAGGAGAGAATTCCGTCTGGTTTTCCAGGGGCTTGTTAGCGTCCGAAGCCAGCTGTCGAAGACAATAGAGGCACGGCACCAGGATCAGCGAGCACATAGTAGCAGCCTACCGCACTCACGCTCCACCTTGACAGCCAATACCTTTGTTTGTAAAAGACAGACCACTGGAAAAACCAGTGTACAGTGTTTGTGATTCATCATGAGACACGTTTGTGTTTTCTGTTCTGATTTTTATGTTTGCACTGTTGGTGTATTTTATTTAGTTTTTTTGCCTTTTATCATTTTGGAGACCTGGGTCATTCTCGCAAATGAGACTCATGAATGGCCTCTTGATCTCTCACCTGTCTGCACACAATAAGCTTAAAACCTTCGCCACTAAATCAAACATAATCGTCATCGTCTTCTTATTTGTAAAACGGTAATAAGGACAAATTACAACATATGCCCAATGAGAAATCTCCATTAACAGGTTTAAGAATGTACATGTACCATGAAACAGTAATGTAACTCACAAGAACATTAATTCCGATTGAAAACTCATTTCCTTAAAACTGCTTTTTGTGTTTAGTTTGTTGTCCTTTCCCCGCACGTCCGATTAGCACGGTCGGCTGCGTAAGGTGCGAAAGAAGTTCAAATACATACATACGTGACATTACTGAAAGGCGGATTACTTTACTGTGAAACTAACTGATGCAAAAGTGTAACAGTAATGTGATTAGACAAAAAATAAATATGAAACTCCCTTATATTAAATTATATATATTTTTCTAAACAAGCCCGGCTCTTTAACTAGTACCACTCATCTTGCTGGAATTTTGGCTGCTTTCCTAGCAGTTATTTCTTTTTCAGAAATCAGGAAGTAGCATTGAGGGTTGGCAGATTGCTCGGTGCCGCCTTGGAGAGCAGTATTTGGGGGAATTCTGCTCCATTCCTGCCTCGGCGCATGGTCCAGGCCATATATTCACCCCGTGCAAAGAGCCCATTAATGCTCAAACTTTGCTTCTTGGGGTAAGAGGACAGGCAGGCCGGGTACCCGCAGTAGATCCTGGCACAAGAACGCGGCCACCAGCCTGCGCACACCCTTCCGTTTCGCACAAAACAAGTTTAACCGAGCTTGCAAAGTCTGCTGCTATATAAACCACTTAAGGTAAAATACACGGTGTTAAAATATAACGCATTCCAGATATTTATTTGATGCTTCATTCCTCCTGGTCCTTGGGTAAATGCCAAGGGAGGAAATGCCTTTTGCTCAGAGCTGGCACAGCAAGCATTGCAGTTGGCTACCGCCCAGACTCCCAACGATATATACAGTTTAGAATGTATTCACACAACATAGCGTACACAGCTCTTTTCATTCCTGACCAAAAACGACTCTGTCCCTGAATGTGAACTTTTAACGTCTGGCTTTCTTTTCCTTTTTGATCAAAAAAAGAGAGCCTGAAATGTTTTAAATGTTTAATAAAGATATTCACAAAGTCACAAATTCCTGCGTGTTTACCTACTCATGCAATAATTACCGCAAGCAATATTTGAATGTTACTGCAAATTAATTTGACTATGAAAGGTTTTGTTTCAAGTAATTTGTCCGAGCCAACGTTTGTCACTACAAATACATTTGATCTAGTGTTATGTTTGTGCACCCTTTTTCTGAGTTCTTCTGTAAAGCGGGCGGTTTTTGCTTCGATTTCTATTTGCTTCCTTTGTTGTTGTACTTGGTTCTAACGTTACTGCTCTTGTCATGTTGGCGACTGAGGTCACCACTCTTGCAAATGAGTCTATAGATGCCTGTTTCATGAGCTGTCACCTGGGTTACAAAAAATGTAACTTGAAACTTGAAAAACATTACCACCCCAGTCTGAGATATCATTTGGTGATTACGAATGGGAACATTGCCTAAAAAAATGTAGACACCCATATAATGTACGAATTGTATCTAATTACAATTTTTTATATCTATTCTTAATTGTGCTTTACATTTATGTTAAATGGCAATTTTAGAATTTTGTTTACGAGATGGAGCTTGCAGACTATTTGTTGTACTTATTTAACTGGAGGGCTCCTCTGAAAAAGACTTCTGGTTGCAATGAACGCTTGTCTGGTTATATATCTTAATGTGTAGGTGTAGTGACTGGGAATGTCACTGTGTGGTGGCGGGCTTGCGAGGCCACGGCGGGATGTCTACTGTATACTGTTGTGTGTACACCCCGGACACGAGGTGTAGTACCAGCCCTAGTGGGGGCTTGGGTGAGCGCTGGTTAAGTGCGGTGGCACCACGCACAGCGTGCGGTGCGGGCTCCCGTTGAGCGACAGAGTGTCAGCTAGGGTTATGTTGGGGGCATGATACTCTGGCTGATCTGAGGATATGTGACTGGATGATACTGGAGGGGGGGCACCGGTGGAGGGGGCCAATGGGTGGTCACATGATCCAAGAAGAACTCTCGAGAGCCCTCGGGTAAGGGCGAGAGAGATCGAGAAGGTGGGCGGGGCGAGAGGCAGAGCCAGCCCCAGCCTGGCCTGATATAAGGGGGGCCCTGAGAGGGGCTCTGGGTTCTTACTGTTGGAGAGGCAGGAGATCCACGTCAAGCTTGAAGAAGCCTCCAGCCCAGCGGTCCGGAACCCAGCTTGTGGTCCGGACCGGGATAGTGGAACCGTGTCTAGTTCTGCCGTAGCGTGGTTAGTTGGGTGGTCACCACCCAAAAGTGTGTTGTGTTAATAGCCCTGGAGTATGTTGTGTTTATAGCCTGGAGTATGTTGTGCTAAGAGTTTAATAAAACGTGCAGTTCCCAAGACACCGTCTGCGACTCAGTTGGACTCACTAGATATGTAGACAACGATATCAACATTATTGTGAGGACCAGGAATGTAACCATTCGTCCATCCATCTATTAAAATTGATAATTGTTTGAAATTGATGCAAATTTTACGGTAACATTATATCTAGGCTAATGAATCAGACAAAACAATGAACACGATACAGAAAACATGAGCAACGATACAAAAGAGATGAGAATGGATCGATTGATGAATCAAATCATTACCTCGCAAAGTGACAATTAAGAGGCATCAGTGCACACGTTACATGTCCACTGGTGCCTCTGCTTGTGAACGCCATACCAAGCAAATAGGTTCTTGGTGAGAGTTGCTGCAATGCTGTTATGTAAGGGTGGCATTGCACCTTGCCTGGGATGGAGCACCCAGCTCCTACCTCGCTGCACTCAGCAAATCAGCAGTCAAAGGTGACTGATGATCCAGTACTCACCAATTCACTTCAGCCACACTCTCACCGGTGATCAGTTACCACCTTATCACTCTTATGTTGCTACTACCATGGTTACCATTCCCGTGAACTTCACTAATCGATTCTTCCACCCATGTTGAGAACACACTCACTCACCTACACATTCACCTACACACTCACTCACTCACCACACTGCACATCACAAAACTTCTCATTCTGCTTCTTCCCTCGCACTGCTCCACTTTGGAATTGCCTCCTCCCGTCGTCAATTTTTCCAAGCTTTTATAACAATAACCTTGCTCAATTCAAGAAACGTGTTACACTCTTATCTGTTTACAACTTTGATCTGGCGGTTTGTTGCTGAACGCTTGACGTTTTTGGCCCTGTGCTCAGCACTTGTGTGAAAAAAAATAATTACCATCTGGAAAATGTACGGATATAGCCGGTCTCCGAAGTACTCCGTCGCCTCCACGGGCATCTGTGCAGGCAGCTGATCGATGGAGCAGATGAGGATTCCATCCTCATTCACACTGCACCCAACACGCACAGCACAGCGTGATCTCACGTCGAGTCATACCGTTCAGTACCCGGCACGCGCAGCACACGCAGTGTGATCTGATGTCAAGTCGTAACATTCAGCACTCAGTGGTGGTGCATGGCTCGTGGGGCGCCAGCGGTGGTGTGGGCCAGCGGTGTCGCGTTCGCCGTTTGTTGCAGAGTTCGTGGTTCCAATGCGACAGAATGCCCCTGGTTTTTACTGCATCTTGTTAACCATAAGCAGTACGCGCCGTCCGCTTGATGGTGTTAAAGATCCCGTGAGGTCATATATGAACGAAGAGGCCGTCCTTGTGCGACGTCATTGTGAAAATTTGCTAAATTGTAAAAATCATACAAAATGTACTCAATTTGGATAACACAAAGCAACATCTCCGCCTACTGTGAAAAGTATGGTCAAACAATCCGCATGAATGGCATCGTGTGGGGATGCCTTCATCTAGTAGTGGGCGAACAGACTATCAGCCTTTCTCTAACCTATATGGAAGTATGGATTTCAATTAAGCACTCACGGCATTACTCCTCATCCGTGTGACTAATGAGCTCTGCTGTTATCATGACACGCCTACGCTAAACATTCCACTCATGGCCATAGGCAACATATTATTTGTGGTGGAAATAATTCGTGCATGTAAGTTCTCATCCCAGCTGTGGATATTCTGCTAGGCGTAGAGAGATCATGACAGAAAATGTTGACTGTGTTTTTTTCCAGAGCAAGTCACATTAAACCACGCATCGTTAAAAGCCCTGAGGACAAATAATTAAGTTCCCAAGGAATGACATGCTCCACTTTTTTGCAGTCTGCTACAATACATATCATATAGAGCTAGGAACTTGATTTGTTGTTTGCATTAAATAATTTTATCAATCACTCTTGCACCATTAAAAGCGAGTAACATTGAATATATTGGTTGGTGGGCAGTCAAGATTAATGCCCTCCTAGTGTAACACTTGCTTGGACTGGTTTACACTTTGACTGCATTTTATCAGCAAGGTGTGGCCAGGAGGGCCAATTCAACTGGAAACCACAATGCCATGGGCAGGAAAATGTGAGGCCTGAAATCAATGCAAAGACCAAGAACTGAGGCCGTTATCTCTCAGGATTGTACGAAACTCCTTCCATGCCCGAGCGCTGGTTGCTGCCACCCATGTATGTTGAACTTCTTTCGCACCGTACGCAGCCAACCGTGTTAATCGGAGGTGCAGGGGAAGGACAACACACTAAACTCAAAAAGCAGTTATAAAAAAATGAGTTTTTAATCTAGATTTAAAAGCGCATAGCTCCCAGTGGCTTTCTAATATCAGAAGGAAGAGCTTTCCAGATGCCAGCAGAAGCGCACCCGAAAGCGCGCGATGCGGTGACCGTCTTTGTTCGATGGCTAGCCAAAACCCGCTGCAAGGATTACCGGAGTACACGTGATGGTTCATGTTCCTTGACAAAACCAGCAAGGTATTGAATCCTAACTCGGGTGCCTTTTGTGTGTGAAGTCTGTATGTTGTTTCCCTGCCTTTGTATGGTTTTCCTCCGGGTTCTCCGGTTTCCTCCCATAGCTAAAAAAAAAGTACACTGTAACTGGTGTTGGCCAAAAATCCCAATGCTGAAATATTACCTGCAAATTACTCAATTAGGACTACACACAGAAACATCGCATCCCTATAAGAAAAACTTGGCACGACCATCCTGAAGCAGTGTTGAGACTCGGTGAGGCTTTGCTGGAATTAAGCAAGCATGATAGTAATCAAAAAAATAAGCACTGACCTGTTGTGGTGGAAATTCTGGTTAGCGTCGTACATGCAGAAGGGCGCGTCGATGGTGGTGCACTCGGTCATGAACTCAATGGAGCCGCCGGGGTCCGCTGAGATGTCACAGATGGCCAGGAACCTGCCGGCCGACAGGACACTCGGTCACTGCCTCATAGCACCCTCAGACAATGCCTCGGACAGAAATATCTAAATCAATAGAATACTATATCACTGCCCTCTCAGATGACAGGTCCAAAATTGTGCATTTTTAGCATCACTTCCCCCATGCATGGATTTTCTCTGGTAAATCCACTGTCCTTGTACGTGCAAAAACACTAATAAAAATGCCAAAAATTACCAAAAATGGAAATGTAGGACTCGAGAACAATTGTTGAGGCTTCCTTACCTAAGTCATGGATGACTGTTGGTATAAACCATTCAGACTGTTACCTTTGCCCAAAGAATGAGGCAAAGAGAAATCCTCACTGTACCTCGTCACACAGAGAGCATCTCATCATTATAGGAACTAGTGCCAGGGAAGAAGATCACAATTACTCCCAGCGTCACTACCCCACGCTCTGGTTGTGCGCCCCCCTTTAGGTTCCTTTGGTCTCACTCGCAGAGGCTCTCCCACCTTCTGCAGAGGATTCTCAATATGGCGACATGGGCCCTGGCTTCTTTTTGGAGAGAGAAACGAACATTTATCACGGGCGTGATTATGACGCATGCATCGTAAGTGTAAATTATATACAGGTAGTCCCCGACTTATGATGGTCCGACTTACGATATTTCGATCTTACGATGGCGATATGACAAAATTGTAACATATTTTACATTTCACGCGGCAGGCAAACGCAGCAGCGTATGAGGTACGACACTGTACGTTGGGACGCTGCCGGGATGTACTGTACGCATCTCCCGCCTTGTGTGATGCCTCACTCTCACCAGTGGTCGACGGAGTAAAGTTGTCTCGGTGTTCAATGCATGTTAAAAGTTTTTATAGCAGATAAGATTGTTTCCTGAAAAAACTTTCTATGAAATTGCAGTTCATATAGGTAGGCTAAGAATTTACCTTGTTTTTTACTTTAAAATTTACTGTACAATACAGTATTGTAATTCATAAATACATACAGTGCTTAGTTTATACAGTACGGTACTGTAAATTGCTCTGTTTTGCTAAATTATCACCATTCTTTAAGACTCCTGGGTAGCCTAGGCCATTTTCGACTTACGATATTTTCGACTTACGATGGGGTCGTCGTAACGCATCTCCATCGTAAGTCGGGGACTACCTGTATTTTAAATCGATGAATCGGCCACGTCTAGCTGCCAGGTTCTGTGGCGGTTGATCGCTGAGTTAGGGGCGAACAGACGTCGCGAATTGCAGGTCAACGCAAAACCTGACAGTAAAAACACCAGTGCCGTGGCTCCATCCATCCACCCCTGGGGTGCCTCGAAGTCACCGCGCCGCTCGGCACTCATGCCGCGTGCGGATGTGCTGCCGCGTCCGTGCCTGTGCGGGAGGTAGGGGCAGCCCTTGACAAAGGTGTCCGCCTCGGAGCCCTCTGCCAGGTGCATGGGGGTCATGAGGCGCTGGGCATCCTCCTTGCTGAGCAGCCGAGGGGTGTCCGGGTCCCAGTAGATCCCATTCACCAGGCACGTCGTGTACGGGGCAATCTGGGAAGGTCAACCCACAGTGGTGACGTCGACAAGGACAACTCTTCCCCAGTGACGCTACAGCAACCACGACTCCCCTTCTCCCGCGGTGTCCTTTTGCACGCTCATCTCAATCCATCGATCCCAGTTCCCATCTGGTCATCCACCTCCTGAGCTCACTGAAAGTGCCTCTCTTTCTTCCACGCCTGTTGTTGCAAACTGCTTCACCAAAGCTCCGAGCGCCCTCGCCTTGTGATGTGTTCTCCCCACCATCTTGGCCCCGAATTGCCAAGGTAATAATAATCGTAATAATAATAAACTTTGTCAATCCACTGTTGGATCAAGGCCTGTTGGTCTCTGTGGTTTGGTGGAGAGGAAACCCAGGACCAGTTCAGGTATCAAGCGCCATTTGTTAGCTGTGGCTGGGAATTAAACTCGGGTAGCCATGCTCGTGGTGTGATCCACCACTACCTCTGCCAAGATATATCCTTGAAAACTTGAGTGAAACACAAGAAGAGCTCCTTACCCTCAGACTCAATGCGAAAGCAACCCTAACCCCAGCAAGGGTGCCACACGGTAGCGAGATATTTACTACCTCGCCTTGTATACACAGAATGTCGTTGGTTCGATCCCAACCCTGATGCCTGTATATTTGGAGTTTTCATGTTCTCCCCATGGTCGCATGAATTTTCCTCCGGGTCCTCTGTTTTTTCCCTCCACATTTAGAATCATCATGCGTTTAGAGTATCTGGCTGCTATAAATTTCCACATGATAAGCCACTACATTGAGCTATCATTTGTGTCCAGGTTGCAGGTCTTCACATGTCCAAGTCTTGGTGGAGGCGTTCTCATGTATAATCTAGGTTGTGGGCATTTTTGAACTAAACTATTTTTTTATTTTACCAGGCAATGCTCACTGAGCTATATAGCTCTTTTTCGGAAGCAACCTGGCCACAAATGATAGCCCAACGAAGTGGTTTATCACGTTGAAATATATAGCAGCCAAATACTCTAATACGCATTTTTATAAATATGGATGGAAAAACCGGAAGACCTGAAGAAATAGTCACGTGACCATGGGGAGAACATGCAAACTCCAAATATACAGCAGGCATCAGGGTCGGGATCAAACCGACGACCTCCCGAGGTAGTTAACATCTTGCCACTGCGGTGCCCATACCTGCTGGTTGAAGCGGGAGGTGTAGCGCTTTGGGTAGATGTCGTACTCCTGGGCATCGTAGATGTCGTCCGTCTTGCGCACCAGGTGGTGGTGTCGGCTCAGCACTGTTCCATACACCTTGCGTGAATCTGCCACGTGCACAAACGAGCAGAAATTGGCCACATGTAGAAGTTCCTTGTTGAAACAACGTGGACATCACTTACTGCACTGCGTCAGCGATACCTATATTTTGAAATGCTGTAAAATGAATTTTTTTTCCCAACCGAGGCCAAATGTGTGGACCCTTCAGTGAGCAGCATCATCTGCTAACAGCAATCCATTTGCAAATGCAATTCCAATTGGGTACACTGCGCAACAGGTGTCTGCACAACTTGGAGCAGCGGGATAGCACAGCGACACCGAGCTGATGACCTCTGATGAGGGTAAAATCCATTACTTTGCAATGTTGCATCACTGCCATGAAATCTGTAAAGGCCGTTCTTTGATTCATTAACGGCGGCCAGTTAGAGCAGGCCACTCTGCACGTACAACATCAGTAACAGTCGCAGGGCAGCATGGGATTCCCACAATTCCGAGTGGCCATCACACCTCTCATTCCAGCATGCGAACCTCATCCCGAGTTCTTGTTTTATACACCATAAGGCTTGGTTAGACGTTGAGGCTTTAGTAAAGCACTAATGTATTATATAATGCACATTAAAGCCACCGTGATATAATTTGCATAACAATGTCAACGAGTGCGAGTCCTAGAAAACAATTGTCAAGCAGGTTCTCACATATGCCCGTGCACACGTAGTAAATATGCCCTTAGGAGGTATGTGCCATTAGGAACCAAAGTCCGTCATATTTAGAAAATAATTACATTTTAAAACACTTGTATGTTGCGCTATTGCTTTTTGTACTACAATAATAATAAAGTAATACTAATTTACACCTCGTTGCAGAGTAACAAAATTTATGCGGCAGCACAGAAGATGTGAAGGAGGTGCGGTGGGGTTCTTTATTCTCGAGTTAACTGTGGCACGGAAGACGGAGCGCAGGAAGGGGGACCCGTGTAAGGGGAAAGGTTCCCTTTCCCCCTGGGGAGGGGGGGGGGGAATGGGAACATGTGACTTGCAGGGTTGTGAGTTTACATCCCAGTTGAGCAGTCGACTCAAGGTTAATAAAATAAGTACCATTTTGTTCGAGGTGAACAGTGGCTATCGTTGGGAAAGAATGATTCCCTCTATAAGCAATGTGGAATTTCCTCAACTGGCTTAAAACTATCAAAAGAGACGATTGCGATCCGACACCCAAGACGGAGACACGTTCTGTCTATAACAAGTCTTGCCGAGTTACGATCTTCAGCACCAAGTGTTCACATTGCGGTGGATACACAAACATTTACAGCATCTTTCTGTTACTCCCCCACACTACCGCTGTTACTCTCCCGCGTCATGTCTTTTGCAAGTGAGATAATCGAAGGTTCGCAGTCACAGAACAGGAAGGGCGGCATCACACATCGTCAAGTGCAACGGAAAGCAGCGACATCCCTATCATCGCCCATCCGCCTCGCACCTCCTTTGAGAGACACGTGCTTCAGGTCGTAGGGCTCCACGTACTCGAACGGCAGCTCGTTAAAGATCTCCTGGGCTCCCTGCAAAACGGAACCGATGCCAGCACCAACCAATGAATGCACGGCGCGGATCGCGCTGTATATATTTTCTGTTTTTATTACTGTAGTTAATATTCATGAAAAATTTACATAGTGCAGTATTTTCATTGTTTAAGTTGTTGTATGTAGTGTGTAAAATGAACTGCATGTAATATTGGACAACGAAATCAATCATAGATACTTTATTTGTCACGCGCATGGTGCCGATCGCCGGACTGGTTACAGCCTTTGGAGCGGTTTTGCCGTTTTCGCCAGATCGGCCCGGGACCGCCAGATAATGTTGTAAGCCGGATAATTGCACGCCGAATAATTAATCGATGATCAACTGTATATATATAAATATGTGACCACCCATCAAAGCCACTTGAAACAAAGAGGAACGAGATGCTGGGATGTGCGTCGCACCCGAGAGACGTTGCCGGTGCCGGTGAACACGAACGTGATGGGGCCGATTGATTTGGGCATGAGCCCCAGCGCGATCTCGTAACCGGCGTCGCGCACTGCCTGGATGGCCTGGTTGCTGTTCCTGTAGTTGTGCGCCATGCCAATGTGCTGTCTCAGACACAAGGCGACACATGACATCGACATCAATGCAGGGGCTTGCGCTAAAACAACATGCATTCCCCCAGCACACAAGTACGATCGCTCCGCATGTGACATTACTGTTGTCGTGACATCAATATTGTGCGATTCTTGATGCAAGAAAACCTGCATTTCCGTTTATGTGCTATGAAGAAGGGTCATTGCTAGAAACGTTGCATGTTATATATGTTTTAAGTTAGGAACTATGTGTTGAGTCTTTGGTTGCTTGTGCACCACTACGAATGCAGCAGTATGACCAAATAATGCATTTCATTGATTCTAAACCGAGTGAGCTCAACCACAATAAAGTTCTCTTTATTACAAGTTAATAGTGGAATTTAGATTTTTTTTTAAGTTGTACCTACTCATTCATAATTCGGAAACAAATTCCCAAGAATGTCCTTCTTGACCTCACCAATAATGATTTCGTTTTATTGATGCCTGGCACTATTTGTTTATAGATTAAATCAACCCGCTCTTCCTATATATGATCCTCAGGTTGTGGGTATATTTGTGGGTATATTTTAACTGCTCCATCCAGGATCGACAAGTGAAAGCACTGGTGCTGATCTGTTCCATGACCACATGTGTATGCCAATATTCAAAATCCCCTCTCCTGTACCCAGATTACTGAGCAGTGTGTGCGTGTGCAACATTCTCACGATGAAGGGCGTGTGGTGTCCCAGAGCAAGCAGGCGCAGGCCCAGGCCATGCAGGATGTTGATCATGCCTGGTGCACAAACAACAAGTCAAGTCAATTTTATTTCTGCTTACACACGTTACGGCTTTCTGGCACAAATCTGCCACTCAAAGCACCATCACATTACTACTTAAACTTAAACATTGAATCAGAATCTTTATTTATCCTGGAGGAATCCGATTAGCTATGAAGCTATTTTTCATAGATGCCCTGTAGGGGTGGGTCACAATAGAAAATTCTGTACAATAATAAAATATATACACATAACAATGCAAGCGTTTCACCACATTGCAGCGAGGGGTATGAGTAATTGGGATAATAGGCAGGCGAAGAAAATTATGAAGAGAGTTGGGGCGCAAGGAAAATAGAAGTGTGTGCAGAATAAAGTAAGGAAATCTCGAGCGTACAATTGTTGAACGGCAGGGCGATGGGACAGAAGCTGCATGGAGATATGTCGCTAATTAATAGAGTGATGCCAGGTGGGGAAGAACAATGAGGGGGGGGGGCAGGTAATTGGAGAGTTATTAGGAGGGGAAGGCGTGGTGGTGGAGCAGAGTTGCGGGTGGGGAGGCTGGTGGGAGGGGTTTAGGCACGATGGCGTGCTGGTGGCACATACCCAGTTGTCACATGCCCAGGTGGCACGCACACGGGACACATTTTGACATTATAATTTTTGATCATAAAAGCAAAACAGCAGATTTAGTCGGTTGGCGATTACATCATAGGCAGCTTCACAATACAGAAAACCACAGTAAATTTCAAATCACCCTAATGACACAGTATCCCATGATATAACTACTCAACTCATGATATAAATGCTCTGATACGTGTATTGTCTTCTAAATGTTCGCATTTTGGTGTTCTCTGGTCTGATACTGGCGAGACTAGGCCATAAAGAAGGCTGTCTCTGGTGTAGGCCAGACCGTTTCAAGACAATGCATATATTTTCAGAGCATGCTTATTTGCATGTTCACCATAAGCACGTGCAGTTAATACAGTCTTGATTCCTTGCAAAATGTATCTATTTGGTGTTTGAACATCTAGACAAAGAGTAAGAATTTTGACACCTGTTTTATTGCCCGAAAGGGTAAAAAAATAATTTTTCAAATTAAATATCATCTTCCCAAACAAACATTACATTCTTTACTCTCCAATATGAATTAAAATTCCTTGCAGCAAATCAATCTGATTTGGGCCACGATCTGATGATTTAGATCTGCAGTCATTCCAAGTCCCCCAATCCAATCCGACAAAGAAAAGATGCAGATACAATAAAAAACAATCATGTTCACCCTGTCGAGACACGCTGAGCATGAAAAGACTGAAATCCGTTTTGTAAAGTCCTCAAGGTAAATGAGATGGGTGTGCATAAAAAAATCTCCGCAATGGCCGTTACCTGTGAATCCAGCCCACTTGCCGAAGGCCACAACACGCACTCCTTTGGTGTCCACCATCTTCTCGTAATCAATCAAGCGGATGCCCTGCAAAGCGAAACCACATCATTATATTATGGTCTGAGTAGGGCACGTCGCAAGAAGAGATGGTGGTGGGCACATCGCTAGAAGAGATGGTGGTGGGCACGTCGCTCGAAACTTCCATAATTTGTATCACTCCTACCTGGTATGTGTCTCACAGACATCACTTCCCAATACTCTGTCGGTGTTCACCACAGGAAAACAGATGTGCCCCAAGAGCAAGTGTTTGGAAATTTAAGATAAAATTCAACGTCCCTAATTTTGTGCAAAGCGCCTTTTCGAGGTTCTACTCTGGTGTAACGAACAGTGAGCACACCGGACTTGCCATCCAGAGGTCGCCGGTTCGTTTTCCTGACGTTGCAGTTGAAACAAGGGGGGGGGGGAAGCTTCTTTAATGCCCCCCCCACCGCCTGTATTTACCCAGCAGTGTAATTGGACATATTGGCGGTACATCGTTGCAGCATAACAACAGACCGGTCCTCGTAAAATAGTCCGACGATGTCGCTGTTGCCCTTGAGTGAGCTGCAGACTCTCCATCAGAAGTTGCAGCTGCTTTCCCATTTGAACGTGTGGCACCAGGAGTCGTAATCTTTTGATGCCACCCAGAAATTATTTCGGAAATGAATCGAGGAACAAGTCCGGCCATGTCTAGGGCACGAGTCAAATCTCGCCTTTGGAACACGGAGCAGCCAATTGTCATCAGGCTCGGTGCTACACGGCAACAGACTGTGAAGCTTTGTGTTCAGCCACTCGTAACATTTATCTTTCGACTGCTTCTACATCACGAGAACTGATTTTGACGCACCCCGCAAAATTTTCTGACCAGGGTTGCAAATCGCAGGAAAATAATTATTGCCAAAATTTGATTTTTTTTTATGCCGGTGTACTGCCAATATGTTCAATGGGTACAGCCAAGGCGTGTGGTGGGGTGAAGTGTGGGTACACCTTGCCTCTTCCAAGACATCTGGCCAGCGTGAAAATGTAGGCAAAATACCCTCTAGAGGTGGTTTATAGAGCTGGAGGCCCTTCTGGCAGCAGGTGCATGTGCAAGCTATTTCAGGCCTGCACCTTTTCCTCCCTTTGTGAATTGATCGTTTCTTACCTTTGCAACCACCTCCTCCAGCAGTCCCATGTTGGCCTCCTGCGCCTTGATTGTGTGGGAGAAAAAAGCGTAGGTCTTGTGAGGGATCAGCTTGCCATCCGGGGGCCTCTTTACTCCCAGGATCAAGGTCGCGTCCGAGATGTCCTCCTGCAGAATGGCTCCAGCCTTCACATAATCCTGGAGGGACAGAGATATGTGGAGACAGTTACAATGACCAACGATTGCGAGACTCCCCATCTGCACAAAAAACGTGTTCTTTTTACGCATGTTAATGTCCAGTTCCAACAGAAAACTTGATAAAAAATGACATGGTTGTCAAATTCTAAGACTGGGACTTGGATTATTTAAATACAGAAGAGTCCAGAGCATATGTTCGAAAATGGAGAGAAAAGCTGCGAAGTAAAACAAAATTAGAGATGGAAGTGAACACTGAAAACAAATTTGAGGACTTAAAAGTAAGATAAATACCCAAAGTGTGGCGTAGGGCAGGCGGGGTCCTGATCCCTAAGGAGAAGGATGCAGTGAACATCAGCCAATTCCGCCCAATCTCCTTACTGAATGTCGAGGGTAAAATCTTCTTTAGGATCATTGCCCAGAGGATGGCCGAGTACCTGCAAAGGAATGCGTACGTCGATACATCTGTACAGAAGGCAGGAATATCAGGGTTCTCTGGCTGCTTGGAACATTCCAGCATGATCTGGCACCAGATCCAAATGGCCAAGGTGGAGAAAAGGGACCTCCATGTAGTCTTCCTCGACCTCGCCAATGCATTTGGCTCTGTGCCCCATGAACTCCTGTGATCTGCCTTCAGATTTTTCCACATACCGGACACCATCACAACCCTGGTGAAGTCGTACTTTCAGGATCTGCAGTTCTGCTTCACCACCTCAGAGTTCACCACCTCATGGCAATGCCTGAATGTAGGTATAATGGCGGGATGTACCATTTCTCCATTGGCATTCATAATGGCAATGGAGGTTATCATCAGATCCTCAAAATGGGTTGCTGGTGGACAGCGAGTCGACTCTGGTTTTCGCCTCCCTCCACTCAGAGCCTACATGGACGACATTACAACATTGACCACCACTGTCCCATGCACCAGGAGACTGCTCAGAAAACTCGAGGAGAACATCAGCTGGGCCCGTATGAAGATTAAACCATCCAAGTCACGCAGCATCTCGATTGTGAAGGGAGTACTTTGTGACCTGAAATTCTTCATCGGAGATGACCAAATCCCAACAGTGTCTGAGCAGCCGGTAAAAAGCCTTGGAAGGTGGTATGATGCAAGCCTGAAGGACAAAGACCAGGTGCAACAGCTGCGCAAAGACATCAGTAGTAGCCTACAGTCCATCGACAACACCCAGCTACCTGAAAGTTAAAGGCCTGGTGTCTGCAGTTTGGTCTCCTACCCCGGGTGTTGTGGCCCCTAGCAGTGTATGAGGTTCCAATCTCAACAGTGGAGAAGATGGAAAGAGGAGCCACGAGCTACTTAAAGAAGTGGCTCGGAGTTCCACGATGCCTTACCACCATATGCCTCTATGGAGGTGGTGTCCTCAAGCTGCCCCTCACCAGTCTAACCGAGGAATTCAAGTGTGCAAAAACCAGGCTCCAGATGACACTGAATGAATCTCGAGACCCAGTGGTGAGCAACAACGCGCCGACCTTGGCAACTGGGCGCAAATGGAGGCCAGGAAAAGCAGTCCAGGAGGCAACAGCAGCCCTCAGACATGCTGACATTGTGGGTCATGTTCAGCAAGGGAGAGGAAGCCTTGGGCTAACTAGCCGTGCTGCTTGGAGTAAGGCCACTGCACCAGAGCAGCGGAAGATGGTAGTGCAGGAAGTACGCCATCAGGAGGAGGCTGTAAGGTGGGCCAAGGCAGTCTCGCTTGCCAAACAAGGACAGTGGACTCGATGGGACAGTGGGGAGAAGAGGAAGATCAGCTGGAAGGATCTGTGGGCCACGGAAGCGAGGCGGTTGAGCTTCTCCATCAGAGCAACATATGACATCCTTCCAACACCAGTTAATCTTCACCAATGGTATGGTGAAGATCCGGACTGTGCCCTCTGTTCCATGCCAGCCAACCTCAGGCACATTCTCACAGGGTGTAAAACAAGCCTCACCCAAGGACGCTACACTTGGCGTCACAACCAAGTCCTTAAAAACCTTGCGTCCGCCCTGGAGGACAAGCGAGCTGCCACCAACTCCCTACCACCCCCAGCAGTATCACACCCCTTACGGACGACCTTTGTCCGCGAAGGGGCTAAACCACCGAAGAGCGGCTCTACACCAATAGAGCGAGACCAGCTGCACTTGGCCCGCGACTGGAAAATGCTAGCTGACATTGGCCGGCAACTTGTGTTTCCTCCGGAGATCGCAACCACCACCCTAAGACCTGACGTGGTGCTCTGGTCCCGTTCGCTCAAGAAGGTCTTCATCATTGAGCTCACAGTACCCTGGGAGGACTCAGTAGATGAGACTTATGAGCGAAAACATCTGCGCTATGCCGATCTAGCTGCCGAAGCACGGCATCATGGCTGGAACACAGAAGTCCGACCAGTGGAGGTGGGCTGCAGAGGTTTTGTGGCAACATCTACAACCAGACTGCTTAGAGACCTGGGAATTAAGGGCCAGAGCCAGCGTTCGGCAATCAAAGCTGTATCGGAGGCGGCAGAAGGCAGCAGTCAGTGGCTCTGGATGAAGAGGAAAGACCCCAGCTGGGCCCCAAAGTGAGAGGGCCAGGAGGTATGCAGTCAACAATGCTTGACTCAGGGAGGAGGACGCCCCTGCCATGCATAGTCCCATGGGATGTTGGCTACCAACAACAAGGCAACTCCTATGACTAATTGGGAATGGGACGCAAGCGTAGGATTGATCACCCTGTCGCTGGCCGCCTTTGGGGAGGGTGTATAGGATGAAAGGCCGAAACACCCTAGGAACCAAAGGGTCACTACTGACGATGCGCTCCCGAAATTTCACCAGGCTCACTGTTCATGAACTCTTGGAACTGCTTGCACAAAGGATAGTAACATCTCATCCTGTGTTCTTTGGAATCTTTACGTCAACATTGGGGGAAGGGTTTCACCTATTGTAAACCTTAGCGAAGCTCAAGCAGAACCAGAAGCACTATGGGAACATTTTAAAAGAGCCGTCGATGAGAGACGGAGAGAGATGCACAGGGGCTGACTGTGAAATATAAGGAGCATCGGGTGAGGATTCAAACGCAACAAGCTGAAATTAAGGGAAAAAGACAAACTGGGGCGGTTTGCATCTACTATTTAAATCCATGAGCCAGTCGTCGACATGTCTATTGAAGGGGTGTGACTCGCACTGTGGACTTCCCATAAAATGTTACAAATGTTATCGATCCAGGAGGGATGATTCGACCTCTCACCAGAATTTTCTCTCCCAAAATTCTTATGCCGAGCCATGAGTTCTCAGATTAGAGGGCACTCTCAGGGTACTTAAAACATTGCTTGGCTGCCTGAATTCGAACTAGGCCTTGGTAAGGTAAGGTAAAAGTTAAAAGGTAAAAACAACGAGCCTACCTTTACCCTACCTTTTACCTTACCGCAATACAATCACTCTACCCTACCTTTTACCCTTTAGCAGGTAAGGTAAAAGGTAAAAATCAACGAGCTTACCTTTACCCTACCTTTTACCCTTACCCCATACAAATTACCCAATTACAGGGTAATTACTAGGGTACTACTACACATGAAAAAGGTTTATAACGGTAAATGCCAGGTAGAGCGCTTTATTCATATAAAATACTCTCAATGATTCCAATTTTACACGCTTGTCGTTGTTGTTGTTGTCATTGTTGTCGTTGTTGTCGTCATCGTCGTATCCTCAAATCTTGTAACTCAATTTTAACTCACTTCTTAATGTGGTATCGACTGCAAACTTGGTATAATTATGTCATACTGATGACAATACTATATTATATCATTAAAAATTCATATCTATATTTTTAAACATTATTTTTTATATGTTATTTTTCGGCTTGGGTCTAATTGTCCACGCTCAACTAACGTTGGCTGTAAATCACCACGGTCCCTTACGTTATGGCAAGTTTCGGGGCCACTTCCTGGAGTCGTGGAGTTCTGCCATTACTCGTACATTTCATAAAAGCGTGTTTAAAAAAAAGTTTTTCAAAATATTACTTATTAAATGGAGGCCACGGACTGCACCACGGAGCTTTTAGCGGTAAACAAGGTACCGTATTTACCGGGTAATACTTTGCGCTACCTTTACCCTACCGGGTAATTCTTCCAAGCTACCTTTACCCTACCCTTTACCTTACCCCTTGGCATGTCGACACCTTTACCTTTACCCTTTTACCCGGTAAAAAGGGTAAATTACCTTACCTTGCCGAGGCCTAATTCTAACACAGAATCTCGGTGCTATCAGCTTTGAATTCTGACCTCTGAGCCACCTGACCACCTCAAAATATGACAGCAGTTTAGAGAGCTGGTTTGGCACCACACCAAAGTTATATTTATAGACGTCACTGCTGAGAACACCCACCAACAAATCATATCACGCGACAGTTGAGGAACGAAGACTCTCAAAGGGACAACCACTCCTTTGCCTTCCTCACAAAGTGGTACTCATTTAATCGAATTCAAGGACACTCATTGTAGTAGTATGCAGGGACACATTAACATTTCTTTATTCTTAGTAAGTTTATTTTTGGTAATGTCTATTGAGCTCAGCTTATTTTTCAATTAAACCTAAAAAAAATCATTTCGAATCTTGCACTACAGCTACACAGATCTGGGCACGCTTATTTGTGAGCTGTGTGGCGAGTTTCGTAACGAACAGTGTAAAAGATTATGATGCGTCCTAGGATACGTGGACACAAAAACATATTTACCGGGCATAACAATTAGCAATATATTGGAGTGACGATGTAAGTGGCGATGTTCCATCTCTTCGATGACAACACTCCACACGTTCAAACTCACAGAGGAAAATCACGTAAACTCACATTGGCATGTATGGCCCGGCGGTTAGAAGGTTGTACCAACACTGTATAGCCAGCGGCAGTCAACATTTCCACGTGATTGGGAGCCAGGGGCGCTCGCCTCTCCCACACGTTGACATCTTCCCGGCGAATCGCCAACACGGGCTGGTGCCGCGTTTGCTGGGAGAGAAGGCGCCGGCCACCAGTGCCATTGACAAACTGGAGACTGCGCCACATCTTCACCGCTGGTTTCTGCTGCAAAGGCGAATCAGGAGTGTGTGGAGATGCAGTCAATGTAAATCCAAAAACCATCTTGCAAAGTTATATTAATCATCTACGAACTGAAATAATCCGTGCCGCACAATTCTAAATTAATACCCCAAATTCATCTGCTGAACGTTCAAATTGCACATGTACGTTATGTCTAAATAAATGACAATCAATATACAGTTGATCAATAACGAGTTTTCAAGGTTCAATGAATAGCCAGACAAACGGGGTGGGGGACGGACTTCATACCCAACCATATTCACGCAAATGCATAATGATCGTTGCTCCCAAGGGAAAACAAGTTGGTAGACCGAGACATCGCGTTTGTTCCTCTATTTTTCGATTTTGTTGGATTATATTATCTCCCCCACCCCCCTCCCTTTCTTCCCTCTTCCTCCTTTTACATGTAACGTTCTGACTCGCCCCTACAGAACATTTGTGAAAAAGAGCTTTATAGCTCATCGGATTCCTCCAGTATACTCTTGATTTGAAGCTTTCGTGACTTCAGGAATCCATACTCTTTGGTTCTTTCGGCAAAGTCACGTAGGTATAAAAATAATAGATCACGACGTTTCGATCGCTACACAAGCAATCGTCATCAGGTGGGACAACCACAGCAAGACAAAACTGGTGAAGTAGGCCAAAACTGCCTACTGCCTACTTCAGCAGTTTTGTCTTGCTGTGGTTGTCCCACCTGATGACGATTGCTTGTGTTGTGATCGCAACGTCGTGATCTATTATTCCTCCAGTATAAATAAATATTCTAATTCTGATAAATCCGCGACACACGATTGCCACCCCCACGGGGGCGGGATGGTGGATCAAACCTCCCCCTAAAGGTATCATACCCAAACACGCAATACTTTGGTTCGTTGCGCGTTTGCTTCTCACATATGCCGTATTTTCCCGCATATAGCCCGTATACGCATATAACCCGCAGACGCATATACCCCGCAAAAATAGAGTTTTGTGTAAAACAAATTTCAGATAGCCCGCACCTCCATATACCCCACATGCATTCATATCTTTAACGTCGTTACCGCAGCTTAATTCCATCATATTAATACGAAGTTTACATATGTAATACATTCCACTATCAATTGTTAACATTAAAATCATAACGTGCACAAAGAAAACAAAATTAACCGGATACGAGTGAACTTAAAACTAGTAAATAAGTAACAAAAGTAAATATCCCATAAATAAGTAACACATAACTGGTAGATAAGTACCGTAAGTAAGCATACTTTTAGGCTTACCAGCATTTGACCTCACCATATTACAGCTACTGGACCGGTAGTTACCCCTGTACAGTTTTAGCACTGGTAGATTGCGCACTGCGCAGACAACAGCGGCACTACAGTAACGCCATTGCCTCCTGGCAACAAGGCCATTGGAAGTTTGGAACAAAGCTTATGGTCGCGACTGTATAGTGCTCAGCTTATAGCAGCGGTCTAAGGGACTCAGCAATTATGATTCCACGTCTGGTAGGCGGTTACTAAGGCCCTTCCCATTGTGCAATCCATAGCCTCAGCTGAAACTTTCGCACCCCCCTACAGCCACTGAAAGTATTACGGTAAACAAAGTGTGCCCACATCAAACATTGTCGTTTCATTGTACAAACAATTCGAATCATTTAAAACGTAATAACATATGCAATTTTAGTGCGAGTGGTTTATTCAGCAGTGCTTTAGTCAAAGGTAAGTATTGCATAATGGATAGTCCTACCATGAAAACATTAAACGAGTTATGACATGTCACACGTGTAAAATATTTAAGGGATAGCCCACACCTCCATATACCCCACAGGGTCTTGTTTTGTTTGTACAAAGTGGTATACCCCACGGGTTATATGCGGGAAAATACGGTACCCCTGTAAAGACTGTCCGGTTGGGTTCATATCAAAATAAATAAAACAGGTCCCTGCGGGGTGGGCTGGTAGGAACGAATAACCAAAGAATATAAACATAATGTATTATTACACTTGTTTAGCCAGGAAAGCCTCACTGAGTCTAAAGGTTTTTGTAGGGTCCTGCCAATTGTTTGCAGTAGGGGGCGATGTTGCTACACCTAATCGGACGATACAAAGGGAGAGTTTGAGGCCTAGTTTTAGGCTTTAGGCCTAGCTGTAGGCTTTAGGCCGCTGTGAGTTATTTTTTTATTTTAATGTTTTAATTATTAATGTAAAAGCTTTATTAAATGTTTCTATTTAAAAACATCAGGGAATGTAACATTGTTAAACATTAACTCCCTTTCACACACGCGGGGGTACGATACGAAGGGAGAGTTTGAGGCCTAGTTCTAGGCTTTAGGCCGAGCTGTAGCCTTTAGGTTGCTGTGAGTTAATTTTTTATTTAAATGTTTTAATTAAAAGCTATCTCAGGGAATTACACTTGTTTAGCCAGGAAAGCCTCACTGAGTCTAAAGGTTTTTGTAGGGTCATGCCAAGTGTTTGCAGTAGGGGGCGATGTTGCTACACCTAATCGGACATCGGACGGACGGACGATATAATCTATTGTAGGCTGGTTCACTTCGTTCCTACCAGTATGAACACAATAACGAAGTCTTCACTGTCGCTGAGAGAAAATAAATCTCAACGTTTTGGATGTGACCCTTCTTCTTCAAGGAGCCTGAACAAAATATATAAATACCCACAATTGCATTAATAGCTCCCGTATTTGACTTAACCTTTGAGTACAGTACCTGCCTCAGAGATACATAATATAGTTGTTGTTATTCAGGTGAGTATAATGTCACAGTACACAACCCTGTCTCTGGCTGTTTGGTTGAACTGTGTCCTTTACACATTGTTCGAATTCACTAAGCTGTGGATATGGTGCCATGGTGCCATGGAAGGAAAGTGACATGATTCGTCACCTACTTGGTGGGTGCAACGTCACACTGGGCTGTGTTCACTAAAAGCTGTAGCATTGCAACCTCGAGCAGTTCTTGGCACGTAAGCTGGACACTGGCGTGTTACCATAAGCTTTGCTAACACTCCGCTCATAACGGTGGTTAGGAATGAATCCTACATACCCATAGAGAATGATTCACTCTACAGGTTACATGCATAATTTGCCTGACAACAGACATTTGAGGGTGACATCAACTGGCAAACATGGCGCAAATGCCATTCTATTGATTAAAAGTTGCACAAGTAACTTTGTAATTAAAGGGTTTAAATCACATTGGCCACTTATTTCTCTGTACATGTGAAAACCAGGGACGTTTCTTCTACAAGGTCCACGTGTATTTTGTACAGTCCAACGTGGATTTGGAAGTCAAAGCAACTGGCAAAGATGCTACACGTGCCAACGTATCAATGTAATTTTAACAACGAGCGTTGCATTTGAAAGTATTCATTTGCATTGGGCCACTTCTCTGAACATATCTAAACAGGGTAGCCATCTATAAGGGATGTGTATATTTTGCCATTCCGTGATCGCACCTGGGCATCAATCACAATCTTCCATTGAAACCGCGCAGATGGTAATTTGTCCGGTAGAGCCATGGAAAGAGTTTTGAAATATTTGATCAAATAATATGTTAAATAGCGTAGGGGTATGGTGAATAGGAAGTGATCTGGACCTGACCACCACCATGAAGATCCTTAATGATCGTGAGTAGGGAATCCGTGACCCCAACAGCATGAATAACCCAGAGCCCTTTCTTATTGATAGAATTATAGGCAGTGACCAGGTCAATAAAGCAGAGATGTAAGTACTGTTAAAATTCCATACACCCCTGCTGTAGCAGACGAACGGAGAATATGACATCATTGTAGGACAGCCCAAGATTTGGAACCACATTGGGGCTCCACACATCTATCCTCAGCGTGCTTGTCAAGACAATGTTGAATAACATATTATTGCCAGGACCTTTCCCGGCACACTGAGGAGGGGGATGATCTGGTAGTTGTTGTAATCAGTGCAGCCCCCATCTTCAAGAGGGGGACCACCAGGGAACCCTTCCAATCCTGCAGAATCCATCCTGTGGTCCAGACAGTTGTAACTGTCATTTAGAGCAGGATGTGCAGAATAGCCTCCCCTCCCTCAGCAATTCACTTGGGAGATCAACTCTGCCTGGAACTTTCCTGGTCTCAGACTCTGGACTAATCTTCGTGTTCCTCAACAGATGGCACATCAGCCACCCACTCACAGGGGGTGGCTTCTTCCTCCGATATTTGACACACAAAGACACATATGTATGGACACGGAGACACGACACACATACATGGTGGTGCACGACACGGAGAAGACACGGAGAGACATACACAGAGACAGAAGACATATACATACACGAAGACACACACAGACACAATAACTCCGGTGTTACTCATGTTCTCAAATGTCCACGTCCTGTTGAGCTCTTTCTGCATTTATTGGTTAATATGTAAATAGCTATGAATTCAACACAAGGGCCAATACAGTTTCAGTTGGTTAAATCAAATCATTTTAAGGCAGTTAAAAATAATAATTGTGCAGTAAATTGTAGTCATGTTACATGGTTTATTGCTCACGACCTGCTTACATATATTGTACCCAAAACAAATCATATAAAATGTGCAGTTGGATATACAAATTAGTATAAATAACAGAGGTCAAGGGAAACGTTTTAAATTTGAGTCCCTATAATGGGAAAATTCAAACTGAATAAGAGTACGAATTGTGAATATGTATGCATGATACATCTTGATATGCAGTAAAGGAGCGATTAGAAAGTTGCACAAGGTATTTGATTGCTTATTCGAAGGTTACACATCAATAGCAATCAATTGGGCTTCTTTCACTGAAACCTGGGTGGAGGTCTGAGAGGTGAGGTGAGAGGTTGTAAAGTGAAAATGTGCAGCAAGCAGCGGGCAGATGGAGAGTTGACTTGTGTACGCGATCTGCTTACATTTATGACCAACTCATAGGAAATCAGAGGGCTCAAAGAGATATAACCCCTTAACTACAAAAATTATATATTTCTTTTTTTTAAATACCAATAACATTTGGCATATGTGCCATGTTTGCCAGCTGATTTGTTCCGCAAATCCATGTCGAGCAGGGTGCAATACACATGGTCCTTGCAGAGGGGCACATCGTGATTTAACCCTTTTAATACATAGTTACTTATTCAATGTTTGATGGTTAACTAGGCATGTATGCAATGGTTGCCAGCTGACCGAGGTCGAAATATATGTGGGATCAGGCAAATTACCCACGAGAATTGTGAAACGAAGCATTCTCGGTGGACATGTACGAATCGTTTGATAGTGGAAGTTGATGTTAAACATGCTGTAGTTAAAGCTGAACAAGACACTGACATAACGTGAATGAAACACTAAGAGAAGAGAAAACAGCAAGTGATAAGTCGACTTACCATTCGCTGTTTTCTCTTCAGAAAGAGTAAAACCAATTCTTATATTCTGATACTGGCAAAAATGGTCCGTTGCTCGCTCATGTACACCGTGCACATTGCGCGGTGTCTACGGTGGAATTTCACGTACATACAACACCCCGTAGGAATGCTGTCCCGCCGGTTTCATGTAATCACTCATCACACACCAAACGTATCGAAAGGCAATCAATGGGAAACGAACCCGACATTCATTTATTTGGCACACGAGACCCACCACTTCAAAGCGTCCCACAAACGATATTTTCTCCTCCACCAACAAGCACCTGAGCGGCACTTATCGGGAACTACAGGGCAATAGTTTTGACCGGGAAAATCGGCGTTTTTTACATGTTTGTGTGCGCTCAGTCACCTCCGTCAATGCAAGGAGGTCCCCCTCCTTTTGCTGCGGCTTAAGTGGCTGCTGTGTGTGCGTGTGCTAGCTACTGGTGAGGGCAGTGTTCCCCTACCTCTGTTTAAAGGATCAGGGAACGCACACAGCTCTCAACCTGTGGAGAGATGACAAGGGTGGAACGGCAGAGGAGGCGAGAAGAGCACAGCACGGTTCACCAATGACGCTCAACATCACACGAATCGCACTCCACACAGCGCACTCCACACATCATCACACTCCCGCACATCGTCACATACTCAACATATGTATCTCCTCCTCCACACATCGTCACACTCGCCCCGCGGTGCCTCCACACGCACTGTGGAGGCTAAATATAGCCCCAGCAGCCCCCGTGCAGAGAATGTCAAGGCGCACGTGCGTCGAGTGCGAGAACGAGTCTCAGCCGATGTACTGCCGGCCTAGAAGGCGTTTGTCTATGAACGGTCCCCGCTATCACTGTACTCTGCGCGCACGAGCGGCAGTGGATTGGCAACCAGGCGCTGCTGCTGCTGCTGCCGATTGCTCCACACGGCTCACACAGGGGACCCCGAACCAGGCGCCTCGTCCCTGCACCCCTTGCCTGGCGAGCGAAGTGTCCCATCTCACGGGACCCCCAATCTCATGGGACCCCCAATCTCATGGGACCCCCAATCTCATGGGACCCCCCCCCCCCATCTCACGAGAGCCTCATCTCACGAGACCGCGACCCCCATCTCACAGGATTCTCTATGGAACATTCTAAATGAAACAAATAAAGCACTTACAGATTCGCTCTCGGCACACAATGTTCACACAGATTCCCCTCGCAGGCACAGCTCACGACATGCGAGTTCGCCGTAATCAGTTTTCTTTGCTCCCATTCGGTTACCGGTAATGCAAAAACAACCCCCCTCCCCCCGATGTTGACACCACAGCCACACCGAAGACGTCCTCACTCCTCCTGCACAGGAGCTGCGCCCGTCCCACCAACCCGAACCACGGACAGCCACGCGGCTCCATCCTCACCGCGCGAGATCGGCCACGCTGGAACCCCCTCGGCTCCTCCTCGGCTCCCTCGTTCTCTCCTCCTCCTCCTCTCCCTCGCCGTGGCCCCGCGCAGCTGGGAGCGTGGGGCTGGGGGCGTGGGGCGGGGACCCAGCTCCCCGTGGGAGGGTCGGGAGGAGGCGGCGGCGGCACTCGGCCGCGATAGGCGGCTGCGGGGGGCTTGGCTCGGGGCTGGCGAGTGGGAGGCGCGCGGCTCGAACTCGACTCCGTGGCTCGGCGAGGAGTCGGGCGAGGGTGGTTGAGGGTGGCGGGGGATGATGCTCGGGGTGGAGGAGGCTGTTGTGGCCGGGTGAGGTGCGCCACCTTAACAGTCTTCAATGACACTCTGAGCACGCTCAACCAGTCTTACTCCACACGATCCACAACCCCGAGACGTGTCCACCAAGCCGGTTGTGTTGTCCTTACCCCGCACCTCTGATTAAGCGCGGTTGGCTACGTATGGTGCGAAAGAAGTTCGACGTACATACAAGCTCTTACACTCGCTCTTTGTTTTCACAGCGCCGCTCATCCCCGTCATCCGGCCCGTGGTGCTGCCCTTATACAATGCCCTTGCTCTCTTTGTCATTGCCCACTGCCCTTGCCCACTGCCAGACGCGTGTCCAATGGCCAGTGGCGGTCGTGTACCCGCCCCTGGTTCACGACGGCTTTGGGTGGCCGCGTCTCTGTCGTACTCGTCGCCTCCCAGGGGACACGCGAATCATAAATAAACCAAAGCGATGTTTTTATCTTACCTGGTTGAGGCCCACTGAGTTATATAGCTCTCCTTTTTGTTTTAGAAGCGATCTGGCCACACACGATTGCTCACCGAAGTGGCTTATCACGTGGGCATTTACAGGAGCCAAAGACTCTAAACGCGTCTTTATTACTGAAATGTTTATAACTGAAATGTTCTAAACGTATGTTTCTAACTCTCAAACACTGGAGTCGAATGTTTATGATTGTGGAGGGGAAAACTCGGAGGACCCGGAGAAAAATCCACACGACCACTGGGAGAGAGACAAAGGTCCCCGTATAGTATTAACAAACTATTGGGGCAAGTGCTGTTAGCGAGCACCTATTATGAAGGCATGCACGGCACACGAGTGGGTGGGTGGCCAGCACCACGGCCGGCCGCCTTTGACTCCCAAGTGCCGATGCTCACACATCGCACCAGGTACTTATTTGAGTCTTAATCTTAATTTTAGAACTTTCGTGACTGCAGGAATTATTATTTGGTTCTTTCGGTTAAGTCACGTCTAAAGATAAAATAATAAATTAAATAATTGCATATTACGACGTTTCGATTGCAACACAAGCATTCATCATCAGGTATAATGAAATAGCGACATAAAATCTAACCAGAAAACTATAGACAGACATATAAGCAGACAGGTATCACCAAGATACATAGAGAGAGCAACACACGTACAGAGAGGGGGTGATCGTCTCTGTGGGGTGGCCTTAAATAGACAGAGGGGGCGGAGGCAGAGAGAGGGAGGGGGTTAGAGAAAAAAATAGCATATAAATGAGTGGACAAAAAACGTGATGCTGCAAGTGCGATGACACGGCAAGCAAGCCTGAAAATCAGGAGAAGGACACACTAAAATTAAATAACCTAGTAAAATATCGAAATGTAATGTAATACAACACAGAGGGTCGGTCAACACACAATTAACGCATAGCCTGGTTGATTACGTATTTCAAAGATTGCTAAGTTAGAATTTAAGTGTGAAAATTCCAAAGAGGTTGAGTCGACCTAGGGGAGGCCCAGGATCGGTTCAGATCGTCACCGGTGTTGGCCGTGAGCGGGAGTCGAACTTGGGTCGCCAGGTTCGTAGCGCATGGCGCTCCCCGCACTCCAAAGTAATATCCAGCAAGCGTCAGGGTCGGGATCGAACAGACGCGCTCCTGCGTACCAGCCGAGGGCAACAACATCTCGCCACTGTGGTGAATCATCTCGACCATTGTTCGAGCGCCGCAGCGCGGCGAACAGAAATCGCAATCTAGGACGGCGAAACGGGGTTACCGGGGGGTCCACGATGGGATGCACCAACTTCATCGTGGTGATGTTTATTTAGTAAATTAAAGAATGAATGCTGTGAAAGAGAAGAAGCATCAACACTAACAGCAGGGTGCTCATTCAAAAAAGCAAGTTGGGGAATGTGAGTTTGCCTGGATATTCTAAATGGGAAAATGAATGTTTCGCACCGTACAGCTAATTAAGTACTTTAGTGACACCTCTCATTTTAAATGTAGAGTTGCCCGCAGGGTGCCCTCGAACCCAGTCCCACATGGAAATGTATAAATGTGTTATGTGGAGTTGGGAAACTATGGGGGTAGAGGTCCCGCTCAAGGGCCGCACTGTCATTGGGGATGGGTGGTCACCAAAACAAAGAGTGTGATTAAGTAATATGATCAACAGTGCACTCTAAACAGCATGTACATGGGGTGGACGAACGAAGTTTACAACGAAGTTCATAACGAATGACATCGCTAAGGAAACCGTACGTCGCCAGTTGACCTCCGGGTTACAGCAGAAATAACAAGCCTGGCAACAAAGGTCCTCATCAGGGCCAGGCGAGCCGATCCATCGGCCCCTTGGTTCGTCTATGCGAGACATCTCTAATCTGCTGTTATGAATCCATAAAAAAGAAAAAGCATGTACATGTACAGTCCTTTTGTCAATCCACTGCTGGGTGATGGCCTCGCTGTAATATGGGTGCTTGTTCATTCATTTAATGCTGTAATTTAGTTGGAGTTAAGTGAGTCCAGTTAAGCATATACGTCAAGAATACATTCAAGATGGTGTATACAGTTAAAAAGTGCAATAAGTGATGTCTTAATAAAAATGTTACTTGTGGAAAAAATACTCTCGGGAAAACAGGCGCATTCAAAACAATCGTTTGCATTCCTTGTAACACGAGTTGAGTTTCCTCCCAGGCCTCGGTATCGTCATCAAGGTCATAAATTGTCGACTTTTTTGGTAGATGGAAGAAAATCTCTTAAGTGTAATGAAATTAAGCTAAGACTCAGATAATCTGAATGTTTTGTGAGCTTCAATAATGGTTTATAAGTAGTCAATAGAATGAAGGAGGATTCAACGTGCAACATATATTGCCAATAATACTGCAGTCTCAGTGGGCACAACAGTCCTTTGTACCAAGGCCGTAGCCATGGAGTCAACATTGGGGGGGACCAAATCTTTCAGGGGATCTGGGGGTCCTCCCCCCCCAGAAAAAAAAATAATCTAAATTTGAAAACTAATTTCCACCCATTTCGTGCCTAAAATATTTAAAAATTCACTAACACATAGGATGAACTTTTTGTTATTTTTTTACAATGTCTAATAGTGTATTGTATTACATTGCTCTGTATTATTCTTTTTTTACCTTTTCTTGTTTCATTGTATGGGATGGCAGAGATTAGGGATGAAGAGATTACAACCATAACCACAATAATAAAAAACACAGAAATCTATGCATTGTTACATGTAGACAAGTCCAGATATTGTGGGCAAGGTTTAGCAAATTGTTGTTTTTATTTACATAGCATAGCAATTATTATTTTTAATATTTTCTATAGCGATATATTTGAATATTGGGTGGATGTGTCCCCTCCAATGTATTATAATTACGGCCTTGCTTTGTACTAAGGCAAGATCATTTATCAGACATTTGATATCCTAATATAGCTAAACCACATATGTTGCAACTTCTGCCTCATTAAGTCGTAAAAGCATTGATTATTAGTGTGTTCCAGACACATGGTGGTTTGTGAAATGAGTACTGCTTTAAGAGTTGAAAGCAGTTTTGAAAGTACCATGTCTGCTTTAAGTAATTTAAGAATGTGCTTAGAGATATAAGTTCGTTTGTGAAATAAATAAGGATCCTGGATATTTGTTAACCTGTATGTTTTTAAATTTATTTAGATTGGCTAGCTTTTCGTTTTGATATTGCTTTATATTGTTTTTGGACCATGCGACCTTAATTATCGTCATGGTAACTTTTTTACAAAGCAATTTTGAAGTAAATGGCAGACGTATGCTTAACAAATGTATCGTAAACGTACATACTAACATGAAGAGGGGTGACATGGCAATAGTTCTCGTGCAATGAAGTCATCTTTGTGCGAGGCACCGAGAACGACAACGGCAAGATATCTGAAGGTGAAGATTCGTGCGACGAGCAGACCATCTGCGCCAAAGAGGAGTCCTCTGCTCGACCGCGTGCCGGGGGGTCTTGGGGCCGCACCTTGGCGAATAAAGCCAGCACATCAAGAGAGAGATGAAAAGCTGCAATGTGCAATTTGGCTGCATAACCTGCATCATAAACATCGCGGATGTGGAATCGGTGCACGAACTGCGCTAAGTATATTGTCCCAGTAGCTCATATTACATGATGAGAATGAAGCTTAGAACTTTTAATGAAGAAAGCACATTTGATGCACATTACCAAGTGAATGCTTACGTAACCTTCGCCTCCTCTGTGGGTGCAGTGTTTTCTTTGCGTTGGTCGGATGCCTTTTGCTTAACGTTTCTGTTGTAAAAAGTTTGCTACCAAGTAATGATCTGCAGCACTAATTCGTATTGATATTCTCATGTAATAAAATATTTAGATGAAAGACATTACCTGGTTGCCTGATAGTGGTTTTGGTGTCCATATATTGTGTATTATGGTTTTGGAAAAAAAGGTCTTTGATAAACCCCTAAATAGCCCAAATTAACCAGACCTAGATCCCCATGCCACACATGCCATTCCTATCCATCACCATGCTGGTCAGTGCAGATTGAAGATGGGAATTGCAGACATGGGGGCATAGAAGTGCAGTACAATGGCCATTTTATACTGTGCTCTGCGTGTTTTTTCGTTCACATAAAGTCAGAAAATAACATATGAATCAAAATTAACATGTATTTATAGTAAAGTAATAAAAAATTACTACAAAAGATTTAGAAGTAGTTATTCGAGATTAACGATTATACTGTAAATCACTTTCACGAATCAGCCTCCAAATGTCGTCTCCCATCATGTTCTCGTTATACTGTCCTAGGTAGCGGCGTTTAAAGTCCAGTATATCCTGGTGGAAGCGCTTGCCGTGCTCCTCCGAGTACGCTCCCATGTTCTTGAATTGATCAAAATGAGCATCAAGGATATGGACTTTAAGGGATATCCTACAGCCCTTTGTGCCGTAGTTCTTCACCAGAGTCTCAACCAGCGTCACATGAATCTTGACTTAAAGCTTTTGTGACTGCAGGAATTCATATTCTTTGGGTCTTTCGGTAAAGTCACGTAGATAGGTTCAAAGAAAATAACAAAAAACTACGACGTTTCGATTGCAACACAAGCGTTCATCATCGGGAAGAGTTTTTTTTTTAACCTATATACGTGACTTTACCGAAAGACCCAAATAATACAGCTCTACATAGTTTTCGACCTTGTGATTGCCCAGGAAGCCACGAACCACTGCGACAAAGCTGTTCCAATCGCTTTCTCCTTACTAGTGAGCTTCTTGGGGAATTCATTAGCTCTCCAGGATCTTCTTTATCTGTGGTCCGACGAAGACACCAGCTT